ACAATTACGTTATATTCGCATACTATTCAATTTATTATTATTAGTAGTAATGTCTTTAAATAACGAAACAATCGATCTTTCACAGTCACCATCCGTGGGAGTTATTAATGTTACTATTCCCTCTTTTAATGTTACTGATCCTCAACTCTGGTTTATTAGACTTGAAAATTACTTCGTAGCCAATCGTATTATTTTACAGCGACATAAGTTCGGCTATGCAAGCTCACTACTTCCAGATGAAGTAGCAGACAAGGTACGAGAGGTCCTAACTAAGCCGGATGCGGTAAATCCGTACGATGTATTGAAACAGGCAGTAATAAAAGCTCTCTCGTTAAACGACCGACAAGCTGTCGAGCAGTTGCTCAGTGAAGTTCAAATCGGAGATAGAACGCCTTCGCAGTTAAAAACGTATATGAGCAACGTAATTGGAGACAGAAATGTGGATAAAAATATATTTTACCAGTTATGGTTGCGACGACTCCCACCGAACGTACAGCAGATCCTCGCTGTTGGAGATAGCGATGTAGACATAGACAATATCGCTAAAATAGCCGATAAGATTTACGAGAGAATGAGAAATGCGACTTCACAAACGCTCAACTTCACAGTTGACGAAAGAATCGAGGCCTTGCAAAAGGAAATTAATGCGCTATGCCACAAATTAACGAGTCTAAATCACAACGACAGGAAAAGAAGTTGGTCGCGCAGCAGATCAAGAGATAGAAACCGATCATTTTCTAAGGGACTACCAGATCCTGCTATATGCTGGTACCATCAAACATTTGGGTACAGAGCTCGAAAATGCAGGTCTCCATGCAAATCTAAACGATCCCAACGATTCTCAGTAACGACTACGAAAATCAACGCAGCTCCCACGAGCAATCGTTTATTCTATGTTCAGGACAGAGTAACGGGCGCGCAGTTTTTAGTAGACACGGGAGCAGAGATAAGCGTCGTCCCTCCATTGAGCAACGAAAAACAAAATATCGATACTGCGCTAACTCTTAAAGCAGCGAATAGATCCGATATAAAGACATATGGCAAACGAAAACTAACCTTGAATTTCGGCCGTAATATTTCACTTCGCTGGGAATTTGTAATCGCTGATGTTTCCGTACCCATAATTGGTATCGATTTCTTAAAGAATTTTGACCTAATAGTGGATTCTCGACGAAACCAACTAGTGAATGGGGAACGCTCAGTAGTCATAAGAGGAGTGACCACTGATCATGTATCTATGAATTTAGTAGTGTCGAAAGATAGGAACGAGCAATATAAGTCACTTCTAAATAAGTTCGCCGACTTAACGAGGTCATCATACGACAACAAAGATCTTAAACATACAGTACAGCACCATATCGTCACGAAAGGTCCACCGACTAGAGTAAGAGCGCGAAGGTTGGACCCAAAAAGGTTAAACATTGCAAAACGAGAATTCGAAAAGCTAATGAAACTTGGTATCATAAGGCCATCTAATAGTCCCTGGGCATCTCCGTTACATATGGTTCCCAAAAAGAATGGAGAAATTAGACCATGTGGAGATTATAGAGCCCTTAACAAGCAAACGATAGCAGATAGATACCCAGTGCCACATATTCACGATATCACTACCGAAATAGAAGGTGCTACGATTTTTTCGAAAATTGATCTTGTTCGGGCGTACTACCACATTCCAGTGGCCCCAGAAGACATACCGAAAACGGCCGTAATCACTCCATTTGGTTTATTTGAGTTTTTACGAATGCCATTTGGATTAACTAATGCAGCTCAAACCTTTCAGCGATTTATTGATCAGGTTGTTAGAGGTTTGACAGGGGTATACGCATATATCGACGATATATTAGTAGCTAGCGCTACCGTCGAAGAACATCTACAACATCTACGACAGTTATTCACGAGACTTCAAGAATATGGTGTCACTATTAACGTGGAGAAATGTGAATTTGGAAAGAAATCATTGCAATTCCTAGGTCATATGATAAATTCTCGAGGTATCATGCCAGTTCCAGCGGAAGTTGCTGCTATTCGTAATTATCCGTTGCCCGAGTCACAAAAAAAGTTACGACGATTCTTGGGACTAATAAACTACTATAGGCGATTTATTCCAAACTGCGCAGCAATACTACAGCCATTAACGGACGCTTTGCGAGGAAATACCCGAACATTCCATCTATCGACAGAGGCCATACAGGCTTTTGAGAACGCTAAGCGAGCACTTCATGAGAAAATGATATTAGTTCGACGAAAGAGCGAAGCGCCACTAGCCATCATGACGGACGCATCGAACATAGCAGTAGGAGCTGTACTGCAGCAGTTAGTAAACGGTACGTGGGAACCGATTTCATTTTTCTCGAGGAGATTAAACCCTACACAAACGAGGTACAGTACGTTCGGAAGAGAACTATTAGCGATTTACTTGGCAATCAAACATTTTCGACACATGATAGAGGGTACCATTTTTACAGTGTATACAGACCATAAACCCCTCACGAAAGCATTAAACGCCAAGCAGGATAACTATTCGCCGAGGGAAATTCGACAATTAGAATTTATTTCCCAATTTACTTCTAGCATACAGTATATTGAAGGTAATAATAACGAAGTGGCAGATGCGTTGTCCAGAACAACGATAAACGCGATTATTACAAATGGAATTGATTATCACGGTCTCGCGAAGTTACAAGAGATAGACATCGAACTAAACAAGCTAAGATTCGATGACACGACGTCATTATTATGCGAAGATATTCAGTTCGGCAACGCGAAAGTAATATGTGACATGTCAACTGGCCGACCTCGCCCATTCATTCCTAAACCATTGCGACGGAAAGTATTCGAAAGTATCCATAACCTATCGCACCCGGGAATAAAAGCCACGATGAAATTAATCAGTGAGCGTTTCGTATGGACGAAAATGAATCGCGATATACGAAATTGGACGCAAGCATGCATGAAATGTCAAAAAGCCAAAGTACATCGTCATACTAGTTCGCCAATGGGTTCATTTTCACAGCCAGACACTCGATTCGAACATATACACATCGATATTGTGGGACCACTGCCAGTTTCGAACGGGTACAACTATATTTTTACATGCATCGATAGATTTACCCGATGGCCTGTAGCGGTACCAATAAAAGACACCTCAGCCGAATCTGTAGCAAAAGCCCTAATCGAGAATTGGATTTCTCACTATGGTATACCGGCAATTATCACGACCGATAGAGGAGCTCAATTCGAAAGTCGACTCTTCCAGCAGCTTACAGAACTCCTCGGAATTAAACGTATACGAACGACATCCTACCATCCAATGGCAAACGGAATGGTTGAACGCCTACATAGGCAGTTGAAAGCATCCCTTACATCTGTCATTGTCAATAACGATTGGGCTAATAAGCTTCCTTTAGTCATGTTAGGTTTAAGAACAATAATTAAACAGGATATGGGATGTTGTCCAGCCGAGTTGGTATATGGAACTACTTTACGTTTACCCGGAGAATTTTTCGCTTCAGGTAAAAGTGTTCCGACTGATGTAGCCAACTACGTCCAACGCCTGAAGAAACACATGAGCGATTTAAAAATAGCACTTCCCAGACTACAACAACGTCGAGTATTCGTACCTCAGCAACTACATAATAGCACGCACGTATTTATCAGAAGAGACAACGTACAACCACCTCTGCAGCCGAACTATGAAGGTTCATTTAAAGTGATTACGAAGACAGATAAGACAGTCACGGTAGAAAAAGCTGGGAAGACAGACGTAATCAGTATCGATCGTGTGAAGCCAGCTTTCATCGATAGCGATTTTCAATCGACAAGCACAAGCCTCTCGAAGACGATCATACCTACGAAACACGAATCTCAGGAGTCAACGACGCTAACGCACCAAAACGAAGAGACACCGATAACGACAAAATCTGGTCGCAGAGTAAGATGGCCGCAACGTTATGTCGCTACAATCTTTTACTGATAATTTTCTGCTACTTTGATTATTAATTATAATTCTTCCTCTTCATTGTATACATATGGATTATTAAATTCATGCTATACGCTATTAAACTTGGCACAGCTTATGTACACCCTTATGCTCATACGTGTAGTTTTTTTTTCGAAGCGATACCATATCCCTTCTATTCCTTACAGCTATTTTGTATAGCCTAACGGACGGGCACGAACTAAATACACACTAACTTCATTCTAATTTTATACAGGCCCATATCTTCAAATGATTGTAACTACGCTATCCAATTTACTGTACATTATGCAAACACAGACATTTTTTCATATATCTTTGTTTGCAGGGGGGAGTAATATAGCAACCATCCTACAATCAATTTCGATTATAGCCAATTTTGGTTAAGCCCTTTTTTATAACTTACTTAACAGACATTGTCATTAGGATAGTAACAATTTGCATATTCTTTGCACTGCTATACCACTAGAGCACATGACACTCTAGCCGAAATGTTGACTGCTTAAATATCATTCGATGACTCATACTCCTCCCCATATATGTACGCACACAAATATTATTATCAGCCTTTGTTTTGCTTTGCTGTGCCCTTATTAAATTTGACTATAAATTGCCTATGTAATTGCTTGCTATTTGCTCGCTCGCTCGCTCGCTTGCTCCTCGTTCGTTTCCTTCGCTTGTTTGCCTGTTCACTCGCTCGTTCATATTCGCTCAGGTGTTGTTAGCTTTCGAACCTGAGTCATTCGACAATAAACTGTAGTTGCTGCTATCCTTTGTCTTCTGATTTTACGCACCGTTAAGTTTAGAATTATAACGGTTATCGAAGTAAACGGTTAACGAATCGCGGCACTACAATGCTTTAACTTGGTTGGGATAAATTTAAGACTTTCGGCGAAGTTATCTGGAAATCAGTTCATAGAATATGGCTGAAGAATTTTAGGTGACCAATTGTTATCCCCTTGTCATAAGGAAAAGTAATATGCTAACATACTCTTACATATCATATTTTCAGTTAAGGACTCACCATGACAACCGGTCGTTTCCTGAGCACCATATGCATCGTTTAGTCCACGGACATCACCATTCAGTATTATTGGAATATCGGTACCAAGGTAACAATGTTTAATTTTACAGTCGACCAATTCTTGAACCACATTCCATGAAGCACAGTCCCTGCTACGTTGTTGAGGTGTTCTGGCATGTAATGTAACCCAGTCAACACCCATTACAGCTAGACGTCGGACAAGTTCAACAGTTAGTTTGATCTAGATAAAAGGTATATTTTAGAGTTACATACATTATTTAACATACGATAATAAACACATCAAGGACGTTTTCTTTTTTTTACTAGAGAAGAGGTAGTACATATTACTACAATGTATGGGAAACATTCATTCACATATGGATACAAAAAATCATTAGGAATAATATCTATAATTAATTTAAACTTGATACAGTCTTTTAATCTAATAACCACAAAAAACCAGTGTATAAAATGGATTGACAGAAATGAGCTTTATTGACTCCCATTTATCACTTCTAGTTATTTGCTTATCGAAAAAAGGACATGTACAATAGGAATATTATTAATAATCAGATAGAATAAGATTCTGTCTAAGTACCACAGAAGTTCAGAAATATACATAATTATTATTAGCTTTATTCAATATTATATTTTTAATACAATATAGAATCCTCAGTACAAAGTATTTCAACAAGTTTCCGTTTCTTACTTCTTGGTCGTTCCTGACAATAAATACTGAGTGATCACCAATTAGAAGTTAGCAGTTCAGTCAATCGACATCTGAATAATGAACATTCTTTTCGCTGCATATTGCCAGCAACCATGATATCTCTGATTAGGCTTTTTGTAACCTTTACAGAGAAAGGTTGTACACTTTTCAGAAACGCACCTGAATAGGTTGTGCGATCAATAGCCACAATGATGTATTATAACAAACAAAATTAGATAGTTTTAATAGTTGAGATCATTGGTTCGAACCTCGCGAGGCGAGATCGTGGGTGCGCACTGCTGAGGAGTCACAGAATATGACGGAACGGCCGTCCAGTGCTTCCAGGTTTTTCATGATGGTCTAGCTTCAATTGACTCATGATCTCAACTATTAAAACTACTATAATATCCACAAAAACCCCTTCTGATGAAAATTAGATAAGTTGTTGAAATATCTAAATGATAAGAACAGGTAGCCCAGATGTTAAAACAGGCCACCAATGATAAAGATAAGTGTTTATCGACTTGAGACTATTACCATCAGGATTTTTAAATAAAATATCAGTTATTTCAGAACAATTTTATTAAATATGACGACAGCGATTTCCTAATCGATCTAAGCAAGTTTCTTTTGATATTTTTAGTATGATATGAGGATCTAGGAAATGTGGTCTACTGAACACTAATAATGGGATAAAGAATATGAATTGAGCAACTGTGGAAAAGGTTACTGACTGTTTTTCTTACGAATCACCTTAACTGGCTGGTTATATAAATGAAGACTACCTGATGAATCCACTTTGGCAGGCTTAGATTATTTATTCGAATCAGTTATTCCGTTATTACTTCGCAGTGATAGCTCGTGATACTTTGCGGTTTGACCCAGATGAACTTAATTACTCAGCGTCCTTCATTCATGATTCAGAAATTGATCAATCTAGATCGATTTATTCATCAAATTAAAACTAAACAGAAGTATTTAATTATGAGGAACTGAAAATGGCTTGAACTAGCAGAACCAACAATGAAAATGGTAAATTATTAGTTAACTGTTACAACTTAGTACTGTCCACTCTAATTTTCACGAGACTGAATATATTCCCTTTGAGCTGTGTCGAAGCTATACATGAACTTTGAAAAACACATTCGACTTCACTGTCTATGATGTTGTATTTCTGGTCGTAGAATTTGTTAAAAAGCTGAATAAGATTATGGGATAATAATTTTTTGTCGTTTAGAAATCAGTTACGTATCTACGTTGTGTAGTTTTTTTTGTTCATTTAACAACTAATTCATGCGCAGTTGCACATGTTAACATTTATTTGAATTTAACAAGTGTTACGTTATCAATGAATTCGCTTGAATTTAAGTGAATAAATGTGTTAATAAACAACACAAAATATCTAACTGATTTACACAGTAAGATTTCGTAGCAGTACTTAGGTTAGAGCAGGTAATTTCCGAGCTAATTTCAATGAAATTGTCAACATGCATTTGAAAGCAGACATCTAAACAGTCGGTTTCAAACAGTATAAAAAAATGTGTACTGTTGGTTACATAACATGTTATTCTGAAAAGATATGATGTAGCTTCGTTGGATGGCTAAATTAATCGGGTATTCTTAATAATGCTAAATAGACTGCTATCTATAAACGAAACAGCAGAGTTTTTTTATATGACTATAGTAAATTCAAAAAGTATTAAGCTCATCTTTTTTATTGACTCAATAGTTAACCTATTTTCGTAAAGGATATAATAAACTTAATAATGAGGTACAATTTAATGCACTACACTTTTTCTATACTAGTGATATACTAGTGATTCTAACTGCTGCAACTCCCATTTTATCCAAACTGAAATATATAAATAGTACCTTTGGAATTGTCAACTTCGAAGCTGAATATATCCCTAATTTCTGAATTATTAAGTAAACTAGTAAAATTTCCAGGTATATATTGTTGGTAAGTTGTTAGGTCTATATTCCATTAATTTATATCGAACAGTTCAATTTGACAGGTGGAAATGAAGGTTTTCCCCATCAAGTCATCGTTCACTTCAATAGTTTTAATACTTTATTATGATATCAGTGAGTGGTTCTGTTTCCTGTTAGGTAACGAGTTAAAAGTTCATGTATTTACCACTTGAGTTATGACCGTAATTTTCTCAGATTAAATATTCTGTCTTAGTAATTTTATAACAACTAGTAAAATTTCCTCAATGGTACTGAGTAAAGATTTCCTTTTTTAAATAAATAGCTTTGATTACGCCATTAGTATTCTTTCATCAAAGTACAGATAACTATATTACTACCGATGGACGGAATAGACTATCTGAAAAAAAAGACAGTTCAATAATTAAGTTATATCCAGAGCACAAATGAGTGTTAAAAAACTCATGAAAATTTTTTACCACTAACTGGATCGCATGAAGGACCCTCTCCAACAGATCTATTACTTGTCGTTGGTATACGAATTTTAGCAGAAATTGAGAATGGACCGTGAGATCGTGTTATAGACTTAAATTTATTTTCTAATTTGTTATTTTTGTCTAAATCTTCTATATCGTCCGACATTTTACAACTTTCCATGTGCGAATTACGCCATCGAGGAATTGTATTTCGAGCGGCATGTACAATATTGGCAATTTTTTCAGGTTCTTTTAATAGGGCTGAACCTAATCCACTACCTATTGCCCAACTAGATTATGAAGAAGAAAAGGAAATGATAATGACAGCATGAAAAAATTCGTTCAAGATATTTAACTAATCTTGTATTCGAACACCAATATATGAAGGAAGAGTATTCTTTCCGATAAATTCTGTTCAGGTTTTATCTAAATTAATAATACAGAAAGTGACCAGACTTAAGGCAAGTACATCGTTTAAAACATCCGCTTCCAGCTCTTCTAGGATTACTGCCGGTCACAAACCCGGATAAAGTAGGAGGTTTAGGCATAGGATCGGCAATCCTATCCTGTAGAAAACAACCATACTAAAAAAACTCTAGCCAGAATGAACAGTTTAAACCATTTGAACTCTGCTCTCCAAAGGTTTGCATTCAGAAGAATTATGACGCCTCATGGTGAAAGCCGACAATATGTAGAAATCACCAGTTCGATGCCCCTTCTAAGAACCAGGGCAACAATTAACATGGAATGTACGGACAATGCGAAAGACCAGGAGGACTAATTAAAGAGGTGTGGAAATGAGATTTAAGTTGGTAGTACTCGGAATATGTGAAACCCATTGGACCCAGACTAAACAGAAGAGATTAGATTCGGGAGAGGCACTGCTGTACTCTGGTCACCAAGAAGAAAATGCTTCGCACATTCAGGGATTTGCTCTGACGCTATTCAGAGAAGCACGTAAAGCACTTATAGGTTGGGAGCCTCATGGACCCAGGATCATAAAAGTCTAATGAATAAACTGAACAACTTGATATTAGTTCATTTAGTGCGAATTTATCATAGTGCCAGTATAAGCCAATCTTTCTCAATTATTTATCGAGTCACTAATATTTTGCCAAAGTTTGTCAGACTCTAAGTCCTTCAAACGGCAGAAGCAGTAACCATTCGGGTTACAAAACTGAAGCTGTTGGCATACCAATTGACATAGAGCCTAAATCCATGAATTTTCGTTGACCGTCTATAGCCATTTAATATCAAATAAAATGAATCACGGTAATATATAGGGTTCAAAGGATTAAGCTACAGAAAATGGATTACTATTAATCGATCACTTAGTAGTCACAGGAACATATTTTCAAGGACGAAGATTCCGACGGATTTTAATGGATTACCTAGTTGAATCTGGTTCGAAAGTCAACATTTTCTACTTTATAGACTCATATTTTTATGCTGAAAGCCAATTATATGTAATTAATTTCTGACATAATTGAACTATTTTCTCTACTGTACAATTTATTGAATTCAGTGATAAAATATTTTTCAACACTAACAGAGCTGAATCAGTAAAAAAAATAGTAGATTATATACTCTATAAGACAGTCGACTTTAATAAACAGATTGAATCTGTGTTGATTCAACAAAATTTTACTAACTTCCATTCTTTGACCATCGCTATTTCTTTAGTTTCAGTACTTCTTCATACATATCTTTTCATCCCGTGTTCCCAAACCATATTCTAAATATTTAGTCTTTTTCAATATAATTAATACTATGATTACTTCAACTAGCTTGCTATTCATTGTATTAATTTCATTTTATTATGTTGATATGGTATAGGAATTAGGGCTATCACACAATTGTGGCAGGTTTGATGTTGATTATAAATGATATTAGTCGAAATATTTCTCAATAGTAAGAATTAATCTTACTATTGTGTGACCTTTTTTCCATTGAACTATGTGTATACGGTTTACAAAGTCATTTTTCAATTTCGATGAAAATATTTTTTATCATAATTCTTATTACATTTACACTAAGTCTAGTTACTAACTTGACACACCATATTAGCACAGAGGAGAGATTATTAAGACAAATCGCAGAATCGTATAAGTAGTATTGCTGCCAGGGGTATTAGAAAACACTAGGAACGAACAATAAGATTCGTGAAGAAAACACAAATCCGTGAAATAAAAAGTATAATCTAATTTTGAATTTTAAGATCTACGGTATTGTAAAGAGGGAATGCGCCTGTGTAGTTGCGAACTATTCTGAATCATGGTATTTAACATCAATAATCATTCGTTACTATGATTATGTGGACCCCAACCAGGTAGTCTGCACTTGTCAACAGGGTTCAGACCAGGTCAGTGACTTCAATGACTCATATGTCAGGTTTCGGTTTGCCAGCCACTATTAGGTTCTTGATCTGTCTGTGTTTAGTATACAATGAGCGAAATTTGTCTTGATCTAGTTTGCGGCCATGATACGATGGGTTATTTAGTAAAACCTTGAGACTGGCAACACGTGAGTTCGATTAGTGACTAGCTAGCCTTGAGATCAAAGAGAAGAAAGTTATCATATCATTGACCTATGTTCTGATAGGTTGGGAAGCTAACGGAGAGAATACAACTTATCTGGAACTGTTTCTCCAACTTATTACTGATTAATATGAACTCAAAAGGTACATGGATAAATATGTGACTATGAAGAGATAACAACCAACAAAAAACGAGGAAAGTAAAATAAGGTTCACATTCGATGTTACATCCGAACGAGGAATAAATAAATGGCAACTACTAAGGGTTATTTGTGGACTATTATTACATATATTCCTATTCCTTTTATCATAAGCTTTCATTTGATCTATTGACTAACGTTATACGATTTACCATTCTCAACTTATTCGCAATCTATTAATTACAATCTCCCATACGCACGGCCACTTTTGGCTTGATCTTGTTTGATTATTATTTTTCATTAGATGGTGTGATGCGGTCTGGTATGCTTGTATATAAATCACGTATGTCTGAAATATACGATTCGAGTAGCGAAGGCTGATGTTTATGTTTTGGACTCAACCGGCTGGGTTAGGTGAAAAGTCACTACTTCGAGGACCCATAAGGACTCAGAGTTGATGCTAGGTTGCTCATGCTGGTTAACACATCATTGGTTTAGCACAGGTGCATAGAATCCCCAAGTCTATGGCATCTGAGAAAATGTCATGAATCCTTTAAATGTAATGCCAATGGCACTGATACATCAGAACGAGTGCACAGCCAAACATTTTGACAATGACGATTCACTTGTCGCTGCCGTTTCAGTTCATGATGCTACACAAATTAGGCAACCAAATATCAGGAGAAGGTATAAGATAAGAGCTAAACACAATTCCCGCCAGAAAGCAGATGTTCATAGATTCAGTTATTCATCTTCACATCGGGACAAAAATAAATGAGTGCAAAAAGTAAATCACATACCAGAAACTACCTAAACACTGCATAAAATCGATCTCAGGTTAGTGTGTACGATACTGTTTGACAACTATCGTTTGGTGATATCATCGTTTTTACAAACCGATAACTCCAAACAAGGCCCGCACAGAGGAACACAAAGCTAGATATTTCGTATGTTAAAATTGTATGGGGACCCTACGGTTCTCCGCAGGAAGATGAAAGAATGGTATCTTTCCAATTATTTCTAACTAGTGACTAGTAATTATTACTTTTGTTCTCAGAAAAACATCAGTTTCTCTATCGCACTCAATTCAATCATGACGCAGAACTAATACAAAAATATGGAGTAAGATCCTGGATGCACACAAACATAATTAGGTAGTTAGAATAACGACATAACTAAGTCATGTGTGAAACAGATGTAAGTAATAGGATCGTACTAAATTAACGATAATTCCAGATAAGTACAACACGTGATAACAGATTATTCATTACGCAAAGTCTTACAACCAGGAAAATAAAATAATCTAAGTATTCAATAATTAAAAAACAAAACTAAAAACAATAACATCAGGTAGAACAGTTCCAAAAGTTGTTTTCCCCACCTAACCTCGTTCACTACAACAGTAGCAGCGGTGATCGAGATTAGGCACTAAATATACGATCCAAGAAGATATAAATTAGTGTAACAAAAACACGAAGAAGGTTATGAGGAATTCAGAAGTTCGAAATTTGGGGGAAGACAAAGAATGGATGTACATGTGTAGTTGCAAGCTATTTTGAATAATAGCATTTAACAACTCTGACCATTTGTCACGATGATTACGTAAACCCCAACCAGGTATTCCATACCTATTATTATGGTTCCATTCAATTGTCAGTGATTTCATAGAATAATGTCATATTGCTGTTTGGCGTTCCTATCTTTCTTCCAGCCTTCTTCAACACCACACAACATCGCCCGTAGAGGTAGGCGGTGGTTGGATATACGTAATACATGTCCCAGCCACCTGAGCTGATGAAGATTTGCTAGCTAATCAATAAATTTCACATCCTTACCTAGTACCCTATTCGTAACCTAGGTTTTAGTTACTCACTGGTCGCAAAATACATGAGCAGTGCCTCGGAGACACCTGTGACCGAATACTAGTAACCTACGAATACCCTCTATTCCTAATGCCCATGTTTCACATCCATAAAGTGAAACGGAGCGAATCGCTGCACAATGAAATCGCTTTTTGGTTGGAAGACGGATATCTCGTCCACGCCACAAGTGATGCAGGTTGGCAAAGGCCATTAAAGTCTTATGAATGCGTGCCGAGATTTCGTCGGACACCAAACCATCAGGACTGATGAGAATGCCAAGATAAGTGAAGTAGTCAATGCGTTCAATTACCATACTTCCTACATATAAGATATCAATGTGGCCAATGGTTGGACATATGTAATACATGTCTCAACTACCTTAGTCGACGAATATTAACTGCCTTATGAACTGATTAGCCATCGTCACTAAGTAGTCTGTGTCTAACTTGATCTGGATCAATTGTATATGACTATGATGAAATAGTTTTAATATGAACAAATCTAAGTAGTAAATTTAAGTACGGGGGGAGGAGGGGAAAAAAGCAGAAAATAACTTACGGTTGCGGACAACCACAATTTAAATCAATTCCATCACAATATGGTGCAAGCATTTCCGTTGCTATCGCAAATTCACATGGATCATTTGACGCAAGTTGTACAATTAACGGTCGGTCATCTTAAATAGATACAACAACGAGAAGAAAAGAAAAATAAAGAATTTCAGGGGTTACCGGTGAGACGAACTTTCTTTCAATTTCAATTATCCAAAAACAACGAAAGAATAAACATAATAAAAGTAAATTGTTAGAAATGAAAAGACAAGCTGTAATCAATAGGTTAGACAGTTAATTTATGACAAGATTTTAAACTTATCTATTAGAAGAGAATGTTCAATATAAGAATGATGAGAATAAAAACACATGGAACTGAAATAAACACAATTCTTTATAATAAAAAAAGGACTAACCACTTTAATCTAAATGTAGGTATTCAATTAGGTAGATAAGTAATTGAATTATGGAAAAAGATTTATGTCATACAAATTCATTACAGAAAGGGGTTTTGTGGAGATTTTAGTAATTTTATATAGTTGAGATCATGAGTCAATTGAAGCTAGAACACCATCGAAAACCTGGAACCACTGGATGGTCGTTTCGTCCTATTATAGGACTCCTCAGCAGTGCGCATCCACGATCCCGCCTCGTGAGATTCGAATCCAGGACCTACCAGTCTCGCGCCAGAGCACTTAACCGATAGGCCACTGAGCCGGCATCCAACGGTGTTGATGTCTAACTTCTGAGGATTCCCACAATAGGATGAAACGGTCGTCCAGTGCTTCCAGGTTTTCCATGGTGGTCTAGTTTCAATTGACTCATAATCTCAATTGCAATACTCAACATCAATGAGAATATTTAGATAACCAGTACAAATGAATTATCTTACAAGTTATCAATCTTAAATATATTTTATGAAAAATAAACATAGGTGCTTATCCAACCAAATATATTAAAAAGATTAATAAAAGCTAGATGATATCTTATTATACAATATCGGTAATTTAAAGTTATAATGACAACTTGTAAAATTACTGAAGTGATGGAAATGATAGAACTGATGGTGTTTTCACATAGTCAATCCTGAAATCTGATATAAATAAAACACAACCACTAGTCAATTGACTATTTACTTATGGATCAGATAAAATATGATTTACTCGGGAGATAAGTCAATGATACTTAATGAACTAACGATTCTTCATATGTGCTTTTCATAAAGAAAGTATTCGTTAGATGATTCTCATGAGGAATGATTTGACGGTTAATCTTAAACAATGAATCAATCAAATGATGTCTCGGTAATCACATTCAATAAAATAGACTGAGGTTTTTTTTGGGGGGGGAGGAAGAATGATGTTCCATTAGTGTTAATTGAAAGTATTGATTAAGTGAATAAGTTCATAAAAATAGTTTCTAGGGAAATACACTCATTGTATAGATAGTTATAGTGCATTATTTTTAAACGAATTTAATTTCTAAACAATATTACTTAAATGAACTGTTTATTAATTAAGCATATAATGTTTGATTATATTTCTTTTTGAAAAAGCTTGGGCCAGATTACTGAAAGAAACAATGAATTGACTTAGAGTTAAATGGTTGAACATTTTACAAATATAATTCTTTTCATTAAATAGGAATAATATATTTATAAAATCTCAGCGAATGAATATGAAGTAAATCCAACGGTTCCTCTGGCAATCTGGTCCAAGACTTTTCAAGAAAATATAACCAAAATATAAGAGTATTTTTTCGGACAAACAATACTCTAAGATCAAAACTAGTAAGCATTAAAGATACAATACACGAAGAAGAAGAACAGAATAGTGTCTATGAAGTCAGATGTAATGACTGTAATGCAACGTATGTAGGCGAAACATCAAGTCAACTGAATGTGAGGGTGAAGAAACACAAACAATGCTTAAAGCACTTTCCTAAGTCCTCATATGATGTAAGGAAACTTGAGGACAAGTTAGCGATAGCATTACACTCGATAGAATCGGGTCATACAATTGATTTCGATGGCACAAGAATCCTTCAAAAAGCTTTCAATTCTTACAAGGACAGAAAAACAACAACATATGGGTTAATCCAAACAATATTAATAGGAGGGATGTAATACAATTAGCTGTGCCATGGCAATTAATAATTAATACGTGAAAACCTGAACTCCTTTCCGTTTTATCTATCACGTATTATCTGAGTGACAACAATTACATGCAATGATTCTAATCAGTTGTCTTATCGGAATTCGTTAAACAATTAACTGGAACATTAAAACAACACATGTATTCAGTTTCGAATTACATTCTTCCGCTTCGAATTTCACTCTTGTTTATTTATCTCCATTTTATACATGCTGTGACATAATTGAATCATATATTAAAATTGTATGTTTTCTTAAAAATTCACCGACAGGAAACAACATGTGAAATTTCTCTCACCACTTACGTATATAGATAATATGTTATCTTAACACATTTCATTTCACATCACATTAATACAAATACCTAGTTTAGACATTTTTAAGGCTGATTGGATGACTTATTCTGTGTACAATGAACCGGAAAACCATGTACCTATTTATATTCGATAATTTTGATGTTTGATTATATTTCCTTGGAAAAGCTTGGACCAGATTGCCAGGCGAAACGTTGGATTTACTTCAAATTCATTCGCTGAGATTTTGCAATTACAAATATATTATTCCTATTTAATGTTTTACATCAACTCGGAGCTCAAATACTGTGAAACTATTCGCATGAGATTTTAGTGGCCTGTTATTTCATTCCAATTTGATCGTATGTTGATTGTCGTTATCTGAATATACATTTCACCAATACTCGTATATAATCATCGACTTAAACCGCGTTAGTAAATAACGGAATTAAATAAGTCAAATGCGAGAATGTATTTCCAATACGTGTATTCCATACAATCGTTGATCCAAACAAACGAAGCGAAATGACGCGCGGTAGAGAAAGTATGTAAGCCAACTCGATCTAACTAAGCATGAATGGATGTTTATAGTAGAAAAAGGAAGTTAAAGACATATAATGGATCAGATAAGAAATGTACACATATGAGCTCACATAAAAACAGTCAAGATCAATAAGCGAATGATTGACAAGGTGAAAATGTGACGACGCATAAAGAACGAATAATTGGTCTGTCCGAAAACTAGAATAGGCTATGAGGGCCCGACATAGTGTCAGTCGCTACAAGGCCATGATATAAATCGGAATATAATATTTGATGTAGGTATCACTACAAAGTATTGATTTGATAATTTTGAGTAAATTGAACATTGGGTAGACTGTTATAAATAAATAATATATTTGTACTATCCCAATGAGTAGAAAAATTAGATTTTCGTGACTCAAATTAACATTAATCCAAGTTTAAATAGTACAAAGGAACAATAAGAAAATTAGGTGCGATCAATCAAAAAACAGGTCTGAGTAAATCAATGTCATGTCATTTCGGTCAAGCTGATTTATAAGCGACATGTTTATAATTTGTGTGTGTATGTGTGCACTGTTAATGATGAAAAATGTGTGACCTTTATAATGACAAAGGAGAGAGTTTAATTTGTAAGGTAATTGTGTGAAATGTAAATAATATCTGACTACGTGACTAGGATACATAGTCCAAGTAGGATGCATGGTAAGGCCTTCCTTTCTATTGAGAGCAGTAGGATTAAGCATTATATGGAACGCTTCGGCTACTCTCCTTTCTTTGTAATTGGAAAAGTCTTTTTGTAGTATTTTGATATTTTTGAAATCAATTCGATGATTTTTCAAAATGGCGTGAACTGCTATTGCCGATTTAATTCGAAGTCCATCCAGTTCTACACGATTATTAGATTTCTTTGTGTACCTAATATGTTCTTTAGCACCAGTCAAGATTTCGCGAGATGACTCTCCAATATAGAAGGCATTACAGTTGACACAACCTAATTTGTAGACGCAGTTCTGTGTAGACATGAATGGGATTTTTTCTTTTAATCGAACTAAAGTATTTCGACGTGTGTTCGTTGTTTTGTAATATACTTTAATTCTGCGTTGTTTTACGATCTTTTGGAGTTCTTCTGTTGTGCCATGACGGTATGGTAAAACTGCAGTATCGATCCATGATATTTTATTCGAATTATTATTACGTACTGAACTGTCTCGTTTTATTATGCTTCTAATAATCTTCATAGGAAAATTAATAAATTGTAAGATACTAATCACATTCTTTTGTTCTTTTTGTTTGTCCTCTTCTGAAGTGATGATCTTGTTGGCTCTTCAAAAAAGATTTAAGGATAACGAGATCTTAGCACTGAAAGGATGTGCTGAATGGAAGTCAATATAACGATTAGAGTGTACGGGCTTTCGGTAGATAGATAGATTTAGAACTCCATTTACATTTCTCTTCACTAAGCAATCAAAGAAAGGTATCTCACCATGTTCATTTTCATTCTCATTTGTGAACTTGATGTGAGATGAAAGTGTGTTTATCCGTTTTGAAAACAATCTTAGATGAGTCTTTTTTATCACTACAAATGTATCATATACATATCTAAGCCAAATCCGTGGTTTAATGTCGTTGGTGAAAATATTTGATTCTATGTGTGCCATAAAAAGGTTGGCCACAATCGGGGACACGGGGTACACCATTAGTTTGTTTGTATAACAATCCGTTGAAAGTGAATAGAGTCGAATTTAAGCAGAGTTTTAATGATCTCATGATTAAACTGATGCTTAAAGGACATCTGTCAGAAAGAATATTGTCATTTTTTAGTAAACCACTGATGAATTCTAAACATTTATCATTAGGAATACTAGTGTATAAAGAGAAGACATCAAAGCTTACTGTTAAGTCGGCTTACAGTAAACTTTATCAGAGCCTCCAGAGGCTCATAAAGAGCCCCAACCAATCAGCGATTAGTCAGAAGCTATGTTACTAAAATAACGAGATCCTGATTGGCTGTTTAACATACTGCTACTATGGAAACTCAAGGTCTCTTAATTACTATAAAACCCCTGTATTTTCTGTACATAAATGAACTTTGTAGTAAAGTACTTCTCTCATACTCGTGTCTTCTCTCTGGTCTTCAAGTTGCTGAATAGTTCTAGCCTGGGGTTATCAGTATAGCTTAGGATCTGAATATAGCGTTCAACGAACGAGATATAACACTTACCATGACTTCATTCTTCTCGATAATCAATTCCGATAATTTTGATTTAAAATCAGATGTATCTTTATTCATATTATGTAAGAAAATCTAATTTTTCTACTCATTGGGATATTACAAATATATTAATTTATTTATAATATTTGATGGTTTAATCAAGATGATGTAATACACCGACGATAGAAACCAATACGATGATTATAAAAAATGGACTAGAATAAATATTAAATTACTTGGACAAGTTGTAAACTCAATATTTCTTGCTTTCTCTGATTGAATAAATGAATTAGCCAGTATCATTGGTGTATGAACTAAATCAACGTTATGTTGTCGAATAAGTAAACGGAATGGTAATCTATAAATGTATATATACATATAAAAAAAGGTATAGTATAATAAATTGAAAAGTAATGAAGAATGAACTGTAATGATATAATTAATAAGGAATATACACATTAGCAATGAAACCCAATAGCAAAGTGAAAAATGCGGTGGAGTTTCAAGCGAAAGGTACTGGGTTCGAGTCCCAGAGTGAACACCAAGTTCGAGGTGCAGTTACATCCAGCTGACGAGCCTTAAATAGGACGAAACGCGCGTCCTGGATTCCACTGCTAGCCACACACATTAGTAATTGATTAAGGCTACTGTACTCTATATCCATTTTGTAGTAGAAAACCAACTAATCAAAATTAAAATTTTTAATCAAAATATAGCGGCATTGTTGAGAATTATTTTTCATAATTTGTTTTTTTCTTTTAAAAAAAGTGTGGATCATTCGAAAATATTTTCTGTTACAAACTGGAGTATATGATACTAATTTTCGAATAAAATCATCAGCATTTATAGTGTTATACAAAGAGTAGAGTAGAAATAGAAATGAAATTAGATTATTTTAAATTTTATCTCATTTGTACAATTTTATTACATTTTTAATTTGATTCTGAACTTGATTTACTTGTTCATATTCTAAAGTAATAATCAACATGTATAGCACTTTATTTCCCTATTACCTTTTTATTACAATATATTTAATACATTATACAATAATATATCTGTACACATCGAATAGCATCCTTCTTTCTGGAACAGCTGGTAGTGCGATGTGTGCTAATCATATCGACATAAGTAGTATATAACGCTAGTCAGGAATAGACTGTAACTCCGCATGGAGCCCCTCTAGGGCTACTACCAATTCCAAGCCTGAATATAGGAGAAGGTTTCGGTATCGGGTTAGCGAACCTATCTCGTAGAAAACTAACTCGCTAAAAACGCTAACCAGTAAAAATAATTCAAACCATTTGAACTCTAGCATGGGAGTTAGGCCTTCATTTAGAAGAATTATGACGTCTCATGATGAAAGCCGAGTTTCTCCAGAAGTTACCAGGCTGTGCCCTTTCCAACAATCAGAACAACCATTAGCTTAAACACATAGAATGTTTTTACAATAGGTAGAACCGGGAGAGTCATCCAAGTTGTTGCAGAAATGAGGAAAAACAACCTGGAGGTGTTTAGAATCGGTCAAACACATTGGACGCAGGTTGAACAACAAAGATTAAATTTATTAGAGCTGCTGTTATGCTCCAGTCACGAAGAAAATGTTCAACATACAAAAGGAGTTGCACTGATGCTATCAAAACAGACACAAAAAGTATTTGTAGGATTAGAAATGTTATGGACCCAGGATCACCGAAGCCTCCTTCAAAACAAATAAAAAAGTACTACAATGAACGTCATCCAATGCTATACGCCTACCAACGACTACGACTAAGACATTAAAGACCAATTCTACGATAGGCTGCAGTTGATCGTCGAGAAGTGCCCAACAAAGGACCTGACCATTCTGATGGGAGATTTAAATGCCAAGGTTGGAATGGACAACACTGGATACGAAGACATCATGGGACGATATGGACTGAAAGAAAGGAACGAAAATGATGAGAGATTTGCAAACCTATGTGCTTTCAATAAACTGGTCATATGCGACACCATATACCTTCAAAAACGCACTCACAAAACCATATGGGTTTCACCGGACCACACTACACAGACCCAAATCGACCATATCTGCATCAACAAAAAGTTCAGGAGGACGATGGAGGATACGAGAGCCAGAAGAGGAGCTGATATAGCATCCGATCATCATTTGCTGGTCACTAAGATAAAACTAAAACTTAAGAAGCAGTGGACAACGGCGCGGACAACATCACAAATGTTTAATAGGACTTTTCTTCGAGATACTGACAAACTCAACAAATTCAAGATAGACATCAGCAACAGGTTCCATGCATTTCATGATGTACTCAATGGAGAGAGAACTACTATGGAGAGCAACTGGAAAGAGATAAAATAAGCAATCATTTCAACATGTCAGGAGGTTCTGGGCCAAAAGAAGCACCATCACAAGGAATGGATCACTGTTGGTACACTGGATAAGATTCAAGAAAGAAGGAACCAGAAGGTAGCAATGAATACCAGCCGAACAAGAGCAGAAAAAGTCAAGGCACAAGCCGAATACACAGAAGTAAACAAGCAAGTGAAGAGGAGCATTAGAACCGACAAACGCAAATTTGTGGAAGATTTAGCAATGACAGCGGAAAAGGCTGTGAGAGAAGGAAACATGAGACAATTGTATGACACAACAAAGAAACTCTCTGGAAATTACCGCAAACCAGAACGACCAGTGGAAAGCAAGGTAATCACCAACATTGAAGAAAAACGGAGCAGATGGGTAGAACACTTCAAAGAACTCTCGAATCGATCAGCTTCACTGAATCCACCCAAAATCGAGGCAGCACCCACGGACCTTCCAATTGATGTTGGCTTACTAACAATTGAAAAAATCAGCATGGCCATTAGAGAAATCAAGAGAGGTAAAGCAGCGGGACCAGACAACATCCCGGCAGAGGTACTGAAGGCAGATGTAGAAGCAACTGCAGAGATACTCCACTTTATCTTCAGTAAGATTTGGGACGAAGAACAAGTACCAATAGACTGGGAAATAGGAATTCTGATCAAAATACCGAATAAAGGGGATCTCAGCAAGTGCGATAACTACAGGGGCATCACTCTTCTCTTAATACCAGCAAAAGTCTTCAACAGGGTGTTGTTAAACAGAATGAAGGACTCCGTAGATGCCCAACTTCGAGACCAACAGGCTGAATTCCGTAAGGATCGATCGTGTACAGACCAAATCGCAACTCTACGGATCATTGTGGAACAATCAGTCGAATGGAATTCATTACTCTACATCAACTTCATTGACTATGAAAAAGTATTTGATAGCGTGGACAGGACATTATGGAGGCTTCTTCGACACTACGGAGTGTTTGCTTGAGAAGATAGTCAATATCATACGGAATTCCTATGATGGACTAAACTGTCAAATCGTCCACGAAAGACAACTCACCGACTCATTCGAGGTAAAGACCGGTGTTAGGCAAGGTTGCTTAATCTCACCCTTTCCCTTTCTCCTGGTGATCGACTGGATTATGAAGACGTCAACGTCTGAGGGTGTAGAAACACGGGATACAGTGGACAGCTAGGATGTACCTGGACGATTTTAGACTTTGCAGATGATCTGGCTCTTCTATCACACAACAACAAATCCAGGAGAAGCCGACCAGTATAGCAGCAGCCTCAGAAGCAGTAGGTCTCAATATAAACAAAGAGAAAAGCAAGACTCTCCTATACAATACAACATGCACCAATCGAATTACACTTGACCGAGGAGCTTTTGAGGATGTGAAAACCTTTACATATCTGGGCAGCATCATCGATGAAAACGGTGGATCTGATGCAGATATGAAGACGCGGATCGGCAAAGCAAGAGCAGCATATTTACAACTGAAAAACAATTGTCAACCAACATCAAGATCAGGATTTTCAATACAAATGTCAGGACAGTTCTACAACATAGGGCGGAAGCCTGAAGAACTACGAAAGCCACCATCCAGAATTTACAGGTGTTTATTGACAGTTTTCTACGCAAAATACTTCGGATCCGTTGGCCAGACTCTATCAGCAACAATCTACTGCGGGAAAGAACAAACAAGATTCCATTTGTTGGAGGAAGAAATCCGGAAGAAGCGCTGGAAGTGGATAAGGCACACATTGAGGAAATCACCCAACTGCGTCACAAGACAAACCATAACATGGAATCTTCAAGGCTAAAGAAGAAGAGGAAGACCAAAGAACACATTATGCCGAGAAATGGGGACAGATATGAGAAGAATGAACAAAAGTTGGATAGAATTAGAAAGGAAGGCCCAAGGCAGAGTGGGTTGGAGAATGCTGGTCGGCGGCCTATTCTCGATTGGGAGGAACAGGCATAAGTAAGTAATGCTTCATCGTTTTTAGTGTTATTTCTATGTTTAAAACTATTGATAGTTTATTTGATTACAATGGTTTTCCCTTGAATTTCATTTACTATGCTGAATATTATTAGAAGAAACAGACAATTATCCAGTTTAAGTTATGGTAAAACTAATGTTGTCAGTGGAGGTAAACGGAGGATAAAGGATCAAAGGGAATGTTATGTGCATGAATTATAGTGATTCATAAACATAGACATTATGAAAACGTTGATTATTGGAAGAAATATTGAAAATTATGTACTAACTTTGTATATCGAACCATAGGAGCAGAAATACGAACAAAAGGTAAGTCATCTTTTTTATAGCATGAAAATATATCCATTAACCTAGAGAAATAAACAAAAAAATAGGTGTATTGTATGCAATCATTGACTGAAAAATGAGAAATCGTTCAAAATCATTCCAAAGTTCTACATTAATGTAAAGTTGATTTAGCCTGTATACAAGTAGTTAAGAATTACTTTTACAGGTCATTATCTAAAAACTGCGCACAACTACACATATCCATCACATCATAATTAGTTCATGGTACTTGGCAACTGTTTTGATATGAATCAGTATTACTTAAATGTAATGGTTTTTAAGGGAGACTACAACAAAGGCGACTGATAATAACGTAACTTAAACACTAAGTATGGGGACCTATCTATACGGCTTTAAGTTGAAAAAAATTTTATGGTATAATAATCATTAGGAGCAGCACAATTTCATCTTTCAAAACGCTAGATAAAAATTCATCCCCAACAATTCAGTGCTCTCTAATTTGTAATGCTTCTCCATACGATATCAATTCATAATGATATTGGGAGCAGTAGAAGGACTATTACGCCCAGTAAGAATATTTTCGAAAACGTGAACTGCAAGCAATAAAATATTGTCAATGAATTCTTATATTTTTGCTACTCATTCGTTTTACATCTGCTAAAATCATAATCGTGGATGTGCACTGCTGAAGAGTCCCAATGCTTCTAGGTTTTTCATGGTGGTCTAGCTTCAATGGACTCATGATCTCAACTCTATAAAACTTATCATTGTTGAACATAAGATGAAAGTTATTCAAAAGCGCTGTGTTGTTCAAGTATTTTTTACAGGATATAAAACGTAATACGAAAGAAAAACTCAAACACAATCAATACTTCATAATATTTGATACCACCATAAAATGGGAAAAAAGTACATTAGGCTTAAAAATAGAAGTCTCTTATCCACATGCATACAAGTTGTAAAGATATATAACACAAAAAAGGCACAATAACGTTATGTATTTGACTAAGCGTTTAATGGTTGTACGGTATCAATGTAAGTTTTCAAATTATTTATTACAAAACAAAGGAAAAAAGAGAAAAAAAATAAAAACAGAGAATTCAGTTTTATGTTTTGTGGAGAAAACATTGCAAAGAAATCAGAGGGTTTTTTTTCTTTCGAACGAAAAAACCCAACGACAATAATGGTATGAAGATTATTGTCTTATTTGTTATTTGTTTAAAAATAAATGTTTTCTATTGACGTGTACTGTTAGTTGATGTTCCATTAAATAAATGTCGTATTCGAATTTCAAATTCTTCAACGGATAATTTAATATATTTATCACGATTTGTTGTGAATGCGATAGACATTGATTTTTCCCAGAAACCACGATATAAAACAACTAGATCCCGTACTAATTGATGCTCTAAACTATTTTTCAATTCTCGATCAGGTATTGATATAAGATGATGTTGTTTAGTTAAAGTATTCAATCCATTATTAAAATCCTTCGAATATAAAGCAAGGAGAAAAAGAGAAAAAAGTTAATATTTGTAAATTTTAGTTACAAATCAACGATAAATAATATAGTAGAGAGACTTATGTGAAACACAAAAATTACAGTAGTATACGTTAATCAATTAACCGCTATTGCGACACTCGTCCTGAGGCAAAATATTCAATTTAAATATATTTTGACTTTATATATATAAAGTTGAGAATGCATGGCGGCTTTCGGTATTCCATCAACATCAACTCCTCAAAATGCAGAGACTTATTATTATTTATGAGCTAAATGAAGATCGTCATTGGAGTAGAGGATTTTTATCATACAACACTGACATACATGTGTTTGTCATCTTCCATTATATATCGAGAGCAAGTATATGGTCTAATTAAACAAAATAGATAGTTTATGATGCATAGATGAAGTGGACTTTACTTATCATGGAAATCTCATTAACACAGGTTAGTTGGTGTCTGGCAAAATGTTAGGACCCATTTGGAAAGCTCAATTGGTCTTTACCAACTTATGGCACTTATGGAGTAGGTGTTAGCTATATAACGAGTTTACTACGCAACAGTTCGTTCCGTTCTATTTAATGGCAATGAAATGTGGCCTTTAAAAATAAAGGGTATTCAAAGGTTATTAGTATTCGTGTCTTTGAAGCACTGCTAGTATATTTTGGGACCATCCTAGGCAAGAACGACAAACCGGTTGATGAAGTTGTGAAATTTTATCGATTAAGATTATTAAGACATGTGTTACGTATGCCCGTCCACTGACTACCTAAACTCGTAACGATGACTAGTGCACAAGTAGGTAGGAAGAAAGCTACGGGAGTATCAGTTCATCAAGATACTGACTGTTGAACTAAGTCATGTAGGTAGATATAGACTACGACGTGATCATAGTAAACAACAGTTAAGGACTGTTAATGAAACTCTACAGAATAGTCCGCAATGGCGCAGGTGCATTCACTGCTTGTCTTACCCCACATTCTTAGCTTCTTAAACCCTTTTTTATTTCACTAATTTACATTTTCTAAAGTAGTATCTTCGATGTCTAATCTTTTTTTATTAACACTAATACAGTTACATGTACTTCTCTGAAATTTTCCCTAAAAATTTCATCTCTCTGTGTTAATGGCGTAGGGCAACTTCAACTGATGCTATTGTGTGCCAGTTCCTACGTTACGTTTGATTGACTAATTAAAGTCGAGTTTGGTAAGATTGTTATTTATTGGAATATCCTAATTCTGGAATTATCCTGTTTACCAGTCAAGGTCATGTAATAATATTGAGATGTGCCCCATCTTCGTCGTCATTATGGATGCTGTTTTATCTAGAGCTCTGTTTCGTTTAATTTGTGACTTTATTGCAGTCATTGGTGTTTCAATTGATCTAAATAAACTTATTTACACTAAATGTATACGATTCATGTTATTTAGTGTTAAATGGGTTAAATTCTTCTTGGTTTTTAATAGTAGAATGTTGATAACTGTATCGTAGATTTCCAAGTTCTCATTATTAATAAAGAGTTAATCCATTGTTCCAAAACTATAAATTACATGAAACATTAACCATCATGAACTATAAACACGACAAAAATGGTGCAGATACGGCCATTCGCACATAACCTTGACTTGTAGTTAAGACAATTCCAGCCATACGTAAGGAATGAATTCATTGAAAAACAGAAACAAAAAAAAACACTAACATAAAAAAGGTATCTAATATTTTTAAGTCAATCAGTAAAACTTACATTCCAAAGAGATTTTAGGAAAGATCTCTCCTTTTGATCTATCTATTAAAGTAAGAAGGGTAAAATAGTAAACAAACAAGTTACAATTAAAGAACAATTATAATCAATATAAAATAAATTACTCGATAAGATGATAGACACATTCAAGTAGGTAGTCTACTGTTAAAAGAATAAAAGAATAAATGAGATACACAAACAAACATGCATTATGAATAATTTATATAAATAGAATGATGTTATTTTATAAATGAACTCACAGAAGAACGATTAATCATACCAGTAATACGATTTAAAATATTACCATCTGGTAATGAAAGCATGCGTGCACACCTATAAAGAATTAGATCAATTTCATTTATGAAAAAGAAAACGGAACAAATTCCAAGAACAAACAAAAATTAAAAGAATTTTGAGAACAGTTAAAATGTAGTTACAATTTTATAGATTATTCAACATAACATGGAAGAAATAAAAAAGATCCCTAAGTAAAATAATTCATAGAAAGGATAATTAAGGTTATAGTATAGTACTATGTTATTAACATGCCATTATAAAACACCAATTATATATGTCGCCATTAATGATCATTAGATGGAATGGAAAAAAGTTAGGATAAGAGTTATGATTACTATTAACTAGAAAATTGGTAAATGACAACAATCACAAAATTCAAAAATGAACAATATTTGAGCGAACAATTGTTTTCAATAATTTCATCATCAGGCTCTACAGTTATAAGCCCATAATTATTATGATATGGTAGACAGTGAACATCATATCAAAATAGAGGAAGCCTTCACTGCTTTATATCAAGTTCCGAAAACTCTACCTCAAAGAGCTAGATTACGATTACTTTACACAGCCGAAGCCATCTGGATCAACTCCAGAAAACCAAACTTATGCATCCAGAAAAGGTATATCCAGCCACTATGTTCACCTTGGCCTACGACTGGATCACCGGATTCCTAAACTAAATATTATAAACCTCCCCCCCTCTTTTTTCTTCCTTTTTTGTTGATAACCTCTATCTTAATCTTCAACATCCATCATTCCCGATTCGTTCATCTTAATTACCTTGACAACACCCCCTTTTATTACATATTATATTCACACAACAATCTTATTATTATTACTGTTTATCTTTATTATCTCAATTAACAATATGAAATTCTCCTACCATGAATTTTATTCACACAATTTTTTTGCATTTTCATTTTTCCTAAATTACTATTATATTGATTGTGACTGGACACTTGAGTACAAATCATTTCGGACCTTTATTAAATGACCTTTCTAATTTACAAATAACACAATTTTGAAGTATCTATGTCGTAATAGATGCAAACGTTTACCATTTTTAACATATAACATTATGAAATTCATTAATACATGCCTCATTTTTGGCCTTTTTAAAATATCATGATAACTATGGACTTATAACTGTAGAAGGGGTTTTGTGGAGATTTAGTATTTTTCATAGTTGAAAGGGTGAGTCAATTGAAGCTAGACCACCATGGAAAATCTGGAAACACTGGACGGCCGTTTCGTCCTATTATGGTCGTCCAGTGTTTCCAGATTTTCCATGGTGGTCTAGCTTCAATTGACTCACGCTTTCAACTATTATAACTGTAGAGCCTGATGATGAAGTTATTGAAAACAATTGTTCGCTCAAATATCGTTCACTTTGAATATTCTATGAGGATCTTTAAACTGCTAAAATCACACAATTATTAATATTCGAGAATTCTTCATTATCAAATCATGATACAACAAAACTATTGCATGCATAAACATAATTAATGAAAATAAGAGAGGTTTTATAAACTAGTAAGAAGTCAACTCTAAGTCGATGAAAGAGACAGTAAGATATTTAGGAAAAAAACCAAAGACACCTTGGTTAGATGTTCATCCATAATCTCTTGAGATTGCTCATTGTTAGTGATGGAATGTTTATGATGATGAGTGTTTAGATTTGGTGACAATACTGAAGCTAATAACACAGATCCAAATTGAGAGGCTTTACGTCGACGAATACTACTTGATCCACAGCTTTCAGGAAATGGTCGTAAGTGTAGTATATCAGCACAACTAATACATAATTTTTGTTTATAGAAAAAGAAAGGATTAGTTAACTAGTTCATGACTGAAGTGTAAGAATAAGTGCAAGAGGAAATATATATAATGAAATATCATATAGACTGAAAGTCCTGGGTTGAATTCCCGGTTGAGAAGTCGTGGGTGTGGGCTGCTGCAGAGTTCCATGCTAGGACGAAACAGATGTCTAATCTTTTCAGGTTTTCAATGGTTATCTAACTTAGATCGACTGTAATCTCCACAACCCTACACTAATAGTGCATAGTGTGCAAAAATATATTTCTAAAACATATATTGATAAACATGAAGAGTGAATACTTTAGTGAATACATCCAATTGATAAGCTGCATTCACGTTGAGTCTAGTTGTCTATGTTTTATGGATATCTGTCGTTTAAGTAATTAATTTAACGTGAGATCGATAGTTTGTGTTTTAGCGCTATTCAGCCACGAGACTGGGAAAGCGCATCAAAAACGTTTTCATTAAGACAATTTTCATAGTGATTGGCACTGAGTTTACAACAATGCTTTCGTCAAGGGATTTGTTACAAAACAACTTATGCTAGAAATGATTAAACACAATAAGCAATAAAATATATAAAAAAGTACATTGAAACAGACTCCCCGATTCTAATTGAAGTTTTTCTCGTATTTTGCTGTTTATAGGTCTCTGTTAGGCATACGATAATTATTGAGGCTAGTATTTTAGACGCCAGATAAGTCAAACTAATTGCCCTATGGATCCATTTTTAAATATTGGGACGATCAATGATTGTAAAAGTCGGATACGATTACGTCCAGTCCTCAGATTTTAGCTAAAATATTCGTCAATCTAAAACTGGACCACCATCCTTAAGGACAACTGTAGTAAGTCCACCCGAGCCAGCTGTTCTTCCTCGTTTCAGATTAGCTATAACTTTTTGAATTGCAATTAGAGTCGGGGAGTCAATTTCACTGTTCCATTCAGGCTGTTTGGAAATGTTGGGTAGTAGTAAGAGTAGCTGAAAGCCAGCCTTCATCGCCCACCACTGCCCTCGATCGTTCCGTAAACTTCTAGTTAACCTAGATCTGATTTGCTTTCGCTCTTCATAGTGTTCGTAGCCTGATGGGATAAGTTTACAAGAGTCTATCAGTGTAACACATGTCGCAGAAATCCACTGGTTCTTCATAAACGTTTAGTTCAAATCGCTAATAAAAGACGCTGTTATTTTCACAGTTGTTTGTATATCTTTCCAAGCAACATCTGGGTCAACTTTGTTTTCAGAACTGCCTAAATGTGACACCAGTTCTTCCTGGAATCTACTTTTGGCTTTCTCGTCAATGAGTTCAACTCTAATGGGTTTTCTTAATGTGGCTTTTCTGTGTCCAGTGAGAAGCAAGCGAGTGCATGCTTGTATTAGAGCATGATCGGAGTCTAAACATGTATTCCAGAACGAGTGGCAGTCTTCTAGAGATGACTGATGGCAATATGGTCTATTTAAGTCCATCATTGGTTTGATGCAGGGCGTTTCCGTGTTAGACGATACCTCTCCGTATGCTTAAAATTAGTGATTGTTAGAAATAAACGATTGTCTGAGCACAGTTAAAACATATGGTCACCATTATCCGTTCACTGAGCCGGAACACCAAAATACCCACCTAAATGTCTTTCTGTTTGGTTTACGTTACCTATTTAGGCATTAAAATCACTTGCGACTAGTACTATGTTTGGGTGTTTAACTTTTTGAAGAAGTTCAAAAAGCTTTCTGTAAAAGTAATCTTTCACTTCATCCGGGCTGCAGTCAGTGGGAGCGTAGGCAGAAATGAGGAAAAGCCAACGACGTGTGCCCCTATTCTTCTGAGTTCTTACGGAGCGGTTTAGCCAAACAGCACACAAGTCTAAATAGTACAAAGGTTACCTTTGTATTACTCATTGGGATATAAAAAAATATATTTATTGTTGTCCCGATTTATTAGTTATAGTCTCTCACACCCACAACCACTTTTAGCTTGTTCTTGTATAATTTCTATCTTATAGTGTTATGCGCTCTAGTTTGCTTGTATATAAACTGCTTATGTCTGAAATATGCAGTTCACACAGTGGAAGCTGAGATTGTGTTCTGAACTCAACGGGCAGAACATGGCAAGAAGAACCAATAAGGACTCAGAGTTAACTCTAGGCTGTTTGTATTGGTTAACGCGTCAATGGGTTAGCAAGATACCAAGGTCATATGAGTCGGTGTTCGAACTGGTGATTAAATCATGTGATATTTGACGAGGCAAGGACGTAACAGTGACACTTGAGCAGGAAGTTTAGAGTTGATAGTTTAGGCAGGAGGAATAATAGGAATTGAAGAGAGGAATTCATTACGAATACAGGGGTGGTCTTGCATGTTGTTAGAGGTACGAGGGTGGTTATCACTTCCCGCTTGCACACACTATGGAATAATTCTTCTAGAGGCACCTGAAGAGGGAATTGTGTTAGAGTTGGTCCTAGTGACCCGTAGTGCCCAAGAAACAACTGCTTGAGGCCGGTTATACACGACTTTTCTGTCGGTAGTTTTTGTGTTAGCTTCGTATTTATTGAGACCTTGCTAACGAAGACGGAAATCCATGAGATAAGTCAAGGTGTGCGTTTTTAGGGTTGACCTTTTCAAGCCCCATCCTTCTTTTCCGGGAAGGCAACATTGTCGCCATGAAGGTTGCCTGAGGGGAACATCTTACTGCCGTCAGACCTCTGTACAGTCAGCAGTACGACTTCGTCCTTATACCTTGGGTTAGCTGCTTTTAGTCCTATCGCTTTTCAACCGACCTACCTGGCATGTTAGAACCTTGAGGAACGATTGTTCCATCCAGTATAGACTGATGGGTTAATCTCGATAGGCAAGACCGACCACAACGTCGAAGTAGCAGCAACCGTCAGGAACCGGGTTTATTACCAAGTAACAGATGGAAATTATTTGGAGAACCAAAGAGTCAAACATTCACTATTTGACTCATTGGGATATTAGTAATATGTATTCTAACCAGCATTAAACTGAATAAAGTTTGATTTTCCTCAAAATAATAACGAAATAGATTGTAAACACCAAAAACGAACATTTGTGTAAAACATACCATCGCGTATAAAAAAGTTTACGTTCATCCAATATACTAGTAATTTTGGCGACAGCTTCACGATCTTGTGATAAAAGATAACGATGAATATTCGTCCTAAAATTCACCCCAATTACCGACACCATGAAAAAAGGACGTATAAATTAAGAAAACCTGTATTATTTAGTTTTAAAATCAAAGAACAATCATATATCCACTTATTTAAACCAAAATATGGAAAAACGTGATTGGTTAACAATAGGAAGGAACTAAACGATTAAGTGCCGAAATTGTAGGGGTTTGTGGAGATTAATAAATATTAGTGAGATCATGAACCAACCTAAGTTAGACAACCATCGGCTATCCGGAATCTCCGAACAACTATTTCGTCCTAGTATGGGACTTGGCGATGCCCATCCATAACCCTGCCACCTGGGATCGAATACATGGCCTTTGGTTCCATGGGAGCACACTTAACCTCAGACCACTGAGCCAAAATTCTACGGTGTATATATCTAAATTGAACCAGCTGAAGATACCGAGTAACCATTTTCTGTGGTTGTCTACTGAGCAGAATAAAAAGTAGGAAATAACATTGAACTTTAAAATATAGAGAACGTATTTACGCAAACATGGTCGACTTTGACACATGTCAGCAAGCACTCCCGACCAAGAAGTCTGGACTACCCCCATATATCCCAGTAAAAATGTGGATGACTTCATGGACTGATATTATGCTTTTATCTGACTGCTCCTTATCTCTTTCCAATCTATTACTATGATTAGCATTGAGTAGCAAGGTAGGTGAGTAAACCACAAGATTTTTACTCATGAGAAATATAGGTTATACACAAGTAATCATAACAATGATATTTAATCATGACAAGTTTCTTTTTGTTCAAAAGCAAAGTTAGTAGTTGTTTGTTAAACAATAGCATGAGATCACCTTAACATGAATGTTACAAAATATTCGTAAACGTTTTTGTTATATCTTACTGATTATTAAAACTAAGATTTTTATTTTTAAACCAAATTTCCGATGGATGTTTAGTAACATACGTATAAGCTTTTGTAAATCAAGTTAATAATTCGTAAAGAAATTTTATCACAAACTGAAATCAGTTGTAGAACGATTGAAAGCCAAGGAGGACTGGGTAAGTGTTTTGCTTTAGTTAACAGCAGCCTACTAAATCTTTACGAGAATAAGTTGAAAATCCTTCCAGTGTTTTACTGGACAGTGTTGTTATCTCTTTATTCTTTCGTCCTACCTTGTGTTAAATTTTATTCAAAACCTTTGTAACTTTATCTTATTCTTTCCCCTCTTTTTTGTCCGGACTTTTATCATGTTACTTTATTTAATTTCGCTACTGCATGTTCCCAGGTCGTTGACAATAGGGTCGTATCTGACTAAACTCAAGGTTACAGCGTGGTTAGGCTGATGATTGCTCACCTTTGATTGCCTACTGGAAACGGTTACTCGAATTCTTGAAGATAAATATTTCATCCCATTTTGTTAGGAATACTTTTAGTGATTCTCAGATACAAAACACTTGTTTATTAATGATCCCTTTAGCTGTTTAGTATGCTATTCTGTGCTAGATGAACCTTCGACTATGTAGCACAGACTGTATTGCTTAAGGTATTTTGTACTTTTGATGTAATTTGTTTCTTTTGTTAAATAAGAACCGATTACAACAAACACAGGGTTTGTGCTTTGATATAATTTAATATTAGTAACTCAACAATGCTTTGTATGCTGTGCAGAAGAACGTAGTTTGATTGAATCTAATAAACTTTGATTCATTAGCTCTGCATTCAGATCAACTATTGGACTTCTGGTAGTTAAAATCACTATAGTAAATGGGATGGATTATTGAAGAGATTTCACTAGAGACAGTAATATATTTAGTAGGTATACTTTCACTTTCATAAGCTCTTTATCAGACAGGTGTCTGAATTTGAGCAAATCGACTTAGGATGACTGTTCGTTACAGGATACATACCTTATTAGCAACGTGTTCCTAGAGATTCAGCTATTTAGTTACGCATGACTTCTACAGTAGTGATATCATGAATACAGTAATTAATTGGCAACAACTAGACTGTAAGTTTTGCACCATTTACTTCGATTTGAGTAGTCCGACAAAGTGTAGTTTAAAATTGAATATTTAAACTTGTATTCGTTAAATAAATTAATTATTTTCATAGTTGAAAGCGTGAGTCAATTGAAGCTAGACCACCATGGAAAACCTGGGAGCACTGAACGGCCGTTTCGTCCTATTATAGGACTCCTCAGCCGTGCACATCCACGACCTCGCCTCACGAGATTCGAACCCAGGACCTATTAGTCTCGCGCCAGAGCACTTAACCGATAGACCAGGAGACTGGTAGGTCCTGGGTTGGAATCTCGTGATAGCGGATGCGCACTGCTGTGGAGTCCTACAATAGGACGAAACGGCCGTCCAGTGCTTCCACGTTTTAAGGTATTTTGTACTTTTGATGTAATTTGTTTCTTTTGTTAAATAAGAACCGATTACAACAAACACAGGGTTTGTGCTTTGATATAATTTAATATTAGTAACTCAACAATGCTTTGTATGCTGTGCAGAAGAACGTAGTTTGATTGAATCTAATAAACTTTGATTCATTAGCTCTGCATTCAGATCAACTATTGGACTTCTGGTAGTTAAAATCACTATAGTAAATGGGATGGATTATTGAAGAGATTTCACTAGAGACAGTAATATATTTAGTAGGTATACTTTCACTTTCATAAGCTCTTTATCAGACAGGTGTCTGAATTTGAGCAAATCGACTTAGGATGACTGTTCGTTACAGGATACATACCTTATTAGCAACGTGTTCCTAGAGATTCAGCTATTTAGTTACGCATGACTTCTACAGTAGTGATATCATGAATACAGTAATTAATTGGCAACAACTAGACTGTAAGTTTTGCACCATTTACTTCGATTTGAGTAGTCCGACAAAGTGTAGTTTAAAATTGAATATTTAAACTTGTATTCGTTAAATAAATTAATTATTTTCATAGTTGAAAGCGTGAGTCAATTGAAGCTAGACCACCATGGAAAACCTGGGAGCACTGAACGGCCGTTTCGTCCTATTATAGGACTCCTCAGCCGTGCACATCCACGACCTCGCCTCACGAGATTCGAACCCAGGACCTATTAGTCTCGCGCCAGAGCACTTAACCGATAGACCAGGAGACTGGTAGGTCCTGGGTTGGAATCTCGTGATAGCGGATGCGCACTGCTGTGGAGTCCTACAATAGGACGAAACGGCCGTCCAGTGCTTCCACGTTTTCCCTGGTGGTCTAGCTTCAATTGACTCACGCTTTCAACTACGAAAATACTAAATCTCCACAAAACCCCTTCTGATAACTAAATTATTATCATTGCATTATATGAGTTTAGAAATCATACATACTTATAAATACTTTTCAATATGTATTGAATATTATTCATTTGGAAAATCATTCGGCGTATCTCTTCAGAATAAACTTCTGATTTACGTTCCAAATTTGTCATGAGAGCGAATATGGCATTAACTAAGAGAAAAGAAACAAACAATTTTCGAAAATAAGAATGGTCAAATGCTTATAGGTCTATGTATACGTTGCAAAGTAAATTTTGAATAATTTATAACATTTATTCCTATACTGAAATAATGTAAGCCACAAAAGGAAATAACAGTAACGGACTAAATTATGAAAAAAAGATAGCAATCGGTCACTATCAAATATAAAGTTCGGTGATTAATTATCAAGAAGCAACTACTACAAATGATATGATGGTTATCGGGTATTGTTATCAGCATCAGTCCATAAGATGAAACTAATAGAAAAATCAGTTTCTACGAGCGTTATCATGGCATACAGTTGTATCAATAAATTCAACTTAGAATTGTTTGTTTGAATCTTCCCATCGATGTGTTAGGACTGCAACTGGTCAGTCTCTAATTGGCATATGTGCATACTGTGCGATATAGCATAAATTCACAAGCATGGTAAGCAGAGATGGATAGTGGCTAGCAGTGGAATCCAGGACGCGCGTTTCGTCCTATTTGGGACTCGTCAGCTGGGCGTACCTGCATCTCAGAGTTGATGTTGATTCTGGGACTCGAACCCAGTACCCTCGCTTCAAACGCCATCGCGTTATCCACTCGGCCACTGAGTCCTGATAGCCACTTGAAGCGAGGGTACTGGGTTCGAGTCCCAGAATCAACATCAACTCTGAGATGCAGGTACATCCAGCTGACGAGTCCCAAATAGGACGAAACGCGCGTCCTGGATTCCACTGCTAGCCACTATCCATCTCCGCTTACCATAATTGTATCAATAGTTGACATTAGAATCCAAAGATAATATCGTAAACTGATTAATTTTATCATGTCAGTAGTAACTTTCATTCTGAGGAGAAACTGAACAGATTTATGTGTGACGAGATGTTCGAAATGTATTGCGCAAATCATATAACATAATTGTGATAAACCTTTGTCTTTTCATTACATTACCGAGATTAATATCCTCTGCTATCAATAATACTGTTATTATTTCGACTATATTGCTATTCATCATGTACAATTCATCTTGCTACACATTTGTGACAGGTCCTGGTGAAACTATAACTAACTGACTGGCAGTTTTAGTATACATTAGTAGATACTTTCAAAAAGTCTACAAATGAAAAATTGTAGATCATGTGTGTCTGGAAGTCAAGTAAACTATTGAGAAGTGCGTTAACCTTTAGATAGTGTTATGTGTAGAAAACTTGATATGAGATTCCATAAAACAACCCATTATTATATTGCATCGTACTATTCCTAGATTAAAAGGCTCCAAAAGTTGAAAAAAACAACGTTAATGAATATAGTTCCCATTGCTTCTAATAAATATTTATTCCTGAAGTAGTTAAATTCGGGTTTGGTAAGCGACTAGGAGTGCTGCGATTGTTAAGTAGTTAAAATTAAGGATTTGCACGTAGTTGAAATTTTCTTGTAATGGTGATTTTAAAGCACCTTTTTAGTCAATTTAGATAGTTTTGAGTGACAGAGCTTTTGTTTCAATAGATGTTTGATGTTGGCTAGAGAAGTAGTTCGAGTAAACTTCAGGGTAGTCAGTCTAACATAAACGTCTGATTCACAAAATCAATAAATTTACTTCTTAACTAGCGTCTGGAAGCTGAGACTTCGTAATCGTAACCATTGAGCAGAAACCATAGGTGATGAAACCCCAAAGTGATAAATATCCCAAATGAATTCGCTCTACTAAAATGCAAAGATCAAATATAGCATTCGATATTTATTTGTTCGCGTTATATATTGTGCACTTAAGGAGTTGATCATAGTCGTGATCCAATTTATAAAAGGAACACTTCGGATACTTATGTTTTCCAGTTGACTATTGTCTTTGGTGTGTAAACTACGGTGTGTTTTTGTTACACTTCTAGATCTCCTTTATGATACAACCACATCATGGTAAATATTCAATTGGTAATGCCAATAGTTAAGTAAGGTTTTATTTTGCTGTAAGAAAGAAGTAAGGTAAGTTATAAGGGATAACTCATTACTTCTTTACAGAGAATTGTGCGTTATTAATTCTTTGATATGACTGTTTCATTCAGCAAAAACATTTTTTAAACAAATATATCAATGACCATATAGTATCAATGTCAGATAAATTTCGGATTATTCTGAAATAAATGTGTTCACATAAAACTGCAAATAAGGTTATGTAGACTGAGATGAATGTAGCTGATAAATTATGTAGGCCTACTAAATTCGTTCGAAAACTATCATCTATAAATGCTTAGTTTTGACAAATATTTGCTGTCTCTAAAACTGCTATTTAAAGCTTTACTATAACTGTATAAATCTATATCTTTAAATTCGGCGGTTCTCAGTAAATACAATAATATATTTGATTTGGACATCAAAAGTAATAGATGCATATTGAATAACTCAGTGATCACAAACAAATGAGACTCATACATTGAACAAAACTTCCAAATGAACAGAGTGTATGTTTCTAAATAGATGTAGACAGTTCTAATTGATCAAAATATGTACTCATTTCCCTTGAAAGGTCATAAGCAACTTTTTATGAATAAACTAGTTACAAATGTCAATAACACACATTAAGAAAGTATTTATCAAGCAAAAAAGGAGAGAATTCTTACATAAATATTCTCCAAATTTATTTTCCAAAAAGGCATGATTTTGGCCAATAGTGGTAAGATATTTAAGTGTGTTAGTAGTAGCTTGTGGACCAGCTTCAGTAAATGACAAAGTAGTACCAATAATATCAGCAAATTCTAACAAGTTTTCTAAATACATCAATGCCTAGTCAATAAGGAAAAAGTATATATATATATATATATATCATTAGGTATTTTAAGTCAGTTCAATTTGCATAATAACAATACTGATACGTATCAATTAGTAGGTGTCGACTAGAGTCTTTTATAGGGGGACTCCTTAGGTGGTTGGCCGTAGTTAACAGGCGACATTGGACCTAGATTTTATGATACTTGTCACTCATAAACAAGACTTACATGTAATTCTGAGGGGACTGGTGTTTACTGTGTGATTCGAACCCGTTCCACTTAGCTTCACAGTCTGAAACGTTATTACTGAGGTGCTCAAGTCGCGTCTGATTTCCTGTGGGGAAGAGATGTTGATAGTTGAGGGTTTATTTAATTACCACCTCTTGGATTGACGCGGTGTGACGAATTGAGCCAGTGCACAATTGCCTCAGATAGTACTATTTTTATTACTTACTTTAGGAAGTTATGAACTAAGAAAGAATTCTTAGTATTTACCTTTTAAATGTCATCTTGGAGAAGTGTTACATGCAAAACAGTGATGAATGGTGATATTTTAGTCTGTTGTTTATATAGGTCACAAAAAAGTATTTTTGTGTAATGTATAATTAATTAAGCAAGAATAAGAACAGCAGTAACTAGAAAAATCAAAAGGCTTATTTTAGCAGTTATGATTATTAACGCCTTATCAGATTATTATTGTACTGTACCGATAATCCTTAGTAAACTTTGAATGGTGTTTTGATGACTGTAAAATTAAACTTTAGAGGGCTTTTTTACACACACACACACAACATGAATGACCAGTAGACAGTCTGTGTTACATACTTAAAAACACCCAGATGGTTTCACTGCGAAAATGAAAAATTATAGTAATATCGAATACAACGCCCACTACCTTGAGCTAGTCTAACACAGGTAGCTTACCTTATTTGAAATGCTAATCGATGTAATTCATGATTTCCTTGGTCCAATAAATGAAATAATAAATATGTGAGCTAAGGTCATATATCTTTACAAACCTAATTCTCACACTAGATCGATCATCCATGCAACTAATTACTTATATTAAATCACTTAGGTTTTCAGTTTGCTGATACAATTCGAAATTATATTGACAGCGACAGTAGGACGACTAAAGGTGAAATGAAAAGGACTGATTACACAGAATGGTATATTTAAACAATTAACAAAGTGATGGGACAAGTGTGTTGGCACAAATAAGGAGTATTTCAAAAAGGCTTGAATGCAACCTAAAGAATTTTTATATTACTGATTAGCATTTTTACTGGACAGATCAATAATATCAAAAAGGGATTCCTTCAAAAAATGTACCACTAATTAACAGCTTTTAAAGTGTAAGTTTATTTTATTCACAAACCCACCCAAGTTACGACCAACAAATGAAAAATATACATACATTTGTTCTTATTCTTTACAACTCAATACACTACCATCAATGAAATTTCACTTACATTAGTTGTAAGTTCATGTATTGTTCCATCTTCAGGTACGACATTACTATTTGAACTGGATTTTTCTGTAACTTGTTGCAAAAATTGTACATAAGTTTCTAGTGTTATTTTACTTTGACTTAATAAACGAAGAACTAATTGATTAAAATCAATTAATACATTATCAATACACTATTTAGAAAATAAATAAACAAGAAAAAAAAAAACAATTTAACATTAGTAGTTGATAAATACATACAAATTTACTACTAAAAATTGATCAATTTATCAAATGAAACTGTGATATGGTCTCAAGTGAGAGTTCATGCAATCATCATCATTACTTTTTTGAAAAAAGCCCATATTTACACTATTTTAATTTGTGTATATCCATGATCTGATCTGAATAAGATTCAAGCCAGAATATCCCCATTTTTGTTTAACTTCATTATAGACCAATTGCTAGAAATAACACTCTCTTCGACTGAATTTTCAAAAACTGATCTCCTACCAGAAGGTCCACTTATCGACTTAAAATACGCAGATGATACAGTCCTGTTTGGTGAAGACGCTGGCAAAATGCAGAGTCTTCTGTTAGAACTGAGTAATAATGCAAGGATGTTTGGGATGCGTTTCTCCCCATACAAATGTAAATTGTTACTCCAGGACTGACCTGCGTCAACACCCGAACTAAGGATAGGGAGTGAAGTAGTCGAACGCGTCGACAACTTCACTTATCTTGGAAGTCTGATCAGCCCTAATGGGTTGGTGTCTGACGACATTTCAACACGGATTCAAAAGGCTCGTTTGGCTTTTGCCAACTTACGCCACCTATGGCGAAGACGAGATATCCATCTATCAATTAAGGGACAAGTATACTGCACAGCAGTTCGCTTTGTCCTACTTTACGGCTGTAAAACATGGCCATTAAGAGTAGAAGATATTCGTAAGTTACTAGTATTTGATAACAGATGCCTTAGAAATATTGCTCGCATCTGCTGGGATCATCGGGTACGTAATAGTGAGGTTAGACACAAGGTATTAGGGAATGATGGTAAATCAGTTGATGAGATAATGAATCTTTTAATCAACTGAGATGATTAGGTCACGTGTTACGTGTGCATGAACACCGATTACCACGACGTGCTATGCTGACTAGTGTAGAGGATGGTTGGAAGAAAGTTAGGGACGGCCAAAACAAAACTTGGCATCAGTGCTTGAAGTCACTAACTTCTGGTCTGAGCCATGTTGGTAGATGCAGACTACTTGGTTGGGGTCGGCGTGACTATCGTAACCGATGGTTGGAGACTCTAGGTAACATGGCTCAGAATCGATCACAATGGCGCAGGTGTATACACTCTTTATCTTCCCTTAAACCTTGAGATTAAAATTGCTTCATAAATTTCTTCCTTCCTATACTATATCCTTATATACAACCTATCTTTTATATACTATCACCACTAAATTAATTACTTCTATGAGTCCGGTGTTCATCTTGTTGTGCTAATGAGGTATGGAGACTTGGACCGATGCATAAATGTGCCTGGTCCTATGTTGTAGCTGACTGACTGACTGACAAGCCAGGACATTTAGGACGAAACCTAGCAGTTGCACTTTCTACTTTAGTCATATGTAGTGATACGATATGATCACCATTCAGTGTCATCCCACACCCTAAGTGGTCATCACATATATAATACCGGATCTCAACTTCAGAGAGAATACATAAACGAAATCTAACATCTATAAAATGACAAATGGATGCATATGTTTACAATAATTAATGAAAAAAACTCTCAGTAGTCAAGACATTTATCTTACCTGAAGTACAGATACAAGATCATCAGAAATTTGAAAAAACTTTTTAAGTACTACTAATAATGACATAACCATATGAAATTCTGCCCGGCCTTGAGCTCGATGCATTAAACGAGTTAGTGTCTATGGTAAAGATAAAAAACAAAGCAAAGTTTGTGCATATGAGCCAGCAAAAGTACGATCCAAGTATTACTGAATCATTCATAACTTTAATGCTTATCGCACATGAATTACATTACATAGTCATGGATTAAATACATAAGAGATTCCTAAAGAGATATTTGGGAAATGAAACAAAAGAAAACACGAAGTTTTAGTAGTCTTTCAGCACAAACAAATAAGGAATGTGTAATATTAGAAAAAATATTGGCTACCTACCGCGTATGATGTCTACTAGAACATAGATAGACAGAAAAAACAACTGAAACTGTGATCGAACTGGAGTGAGGGATCGATTTTTCAAGTCATTCAAGATATACTGTGCATAGTGGATAATCTCCAATAACATCCTACAATTTTCTGATTATCCAGAATTGTGAACAGAGTGAGGAGAAAAAAAATCCACGACCTTCAAGTTTCTGTGACCAATGCTATCTTTATTTTACACTAATATGCACAAATGCTAATCCAATAAAACTTCAATTATGTTCACTAGTAACTCCGAGATGAATTTCTGAATTTCAGGTAAAAATTTATGACTAATAGACCTTAGACACGTTGGGAGCGAAACAGTAGTCACCAACGGAATCGGATGGTTATCATTCTATATAACGAACTGACTGGAGTTAGAAATATGTATCATTGAATGCCAACCAATTAATATGATAATTAGGATCTCGCCACGACAACTTAAGATTCTGAGTTCGATTGCTGGTGAGGTCTTAGTGTGAACTGTTGAGAAGTTCCACGTTAAAACGAAACAACTGTTGATTGCTTTTCAGTTTTCACTGATACCTCATATAGTGTCAATTTGTGACGAATATCACGTTAAAATATACATGAGTTCAAAGTACAGAAATTTAGAAGAGATGTTAGACAGTTGAAGCTAGTCCGGTAGGAAGGCCTAAGCCCAATCGACAGAATTAAATAGGTACTAGGGATTAGAAAAAAAGATTATAACTAGGTAATTAGGTGGTGTGAATATTAGTGTAAGGTTTTTATCATGCGAATAGCCTCCAATAAATTGTAATGGTAATTTTTGATTCCAATAATACACTTTTAAGATACTGACTTATCACTGATATCAAGCATTTTGATAATACGATAGATTAAAAAGGGAGAAAGAGAAATAAACTTACAGTCCCTTCAGTTAAGATATCAGATGACCCTTTTTTAAATATATTGAACAATAACACTTGAGAATCTTGTGGGCTAGCAGTTAACTGTAAACGATCCAACAAAATACATTCATTCTAAAAAATAATAAATAAACAAAATAATGATAATAATTTGTGGGAGATAGTTACTTTGATTTTACAGGATATAAACACAGCCATGTGCACTCCTACTGAGTGGTAATAAAAAACTACGGTCAGGAATCAAAAGACATCTGAAGGTAATGATGAAGGAGAATATAGAACTTACGACTTATAATCGATAAAATAAACTACATTTGGTGGTTTACAACTGGTTAGTACCCGAACAAAATTATCGAAGGTATAAAACTTAGGAGATAATTCTATTATTGAATGATCAAGTTGACTTAATAAAATTTATAATGCACAATGGGATTATATTAAATAAAAGAAATCTGCTTGATACAACTCAGCACTTATATGCAAGTCCGTGTACTTCGTTATTATTGGTACTAGCTGCGTGTTCAAAATGAAGTATCGGTGAGCAGCAGGCTTTGTACCTATGATACAATAATCCGATAAAATTTATAACGATTCATTTACTCAGTTCGGGTTTTGAAACCACATGTTTTGTGTAAGGTTTAAAGTATGGTGGATCGTTATTTTAATGACCCGAGATCTGACTCCATTTTGTATAAACGAAGGAATATGACAGAAACATAAATTCTTTTGATTCTGTATATTGCATATTGATTAACCCGTTTGTGAGACAGCGGTAATAATAAGCCAAATACAGATTAAGTTTAATTGAATTTACTTCAGATTTTTGTTTAGTCAGACAAACATTAAGAAAGCGAAGTGACTCGGAAAAGCCAAGCGTCCCAAATCCATTTGATAAAGCGTGACTCACTATTTAAAGTCAGACAAAAATAGACTAAGCACGTTTGGGGAACGATTAAACGGTACACACACACGCTCATATGAAAAGTCAAGGTTACAAGCGAATAGTTGACCAGGTAGAAACATGAGCCAATAATGACTCAGGAAAATTAAACTAATTGGTGTCTCTGAAAGCTAGAATAACCCATGTAGACGTGACATGGTACTGGACACTACAAAAGATACCAGGAGCTGTAGGGAACCGGCTTCGAACCCGTGATAAATAATTGAAAACTATGGGTTTGAATGGCTAAACAATAAAAAGTTGATTAATGAAGATCGATTGCTTTAACCACTGCGGCCCTGTTCTCCAAAGATACAATTTAGTATCTCAACTTTAAAGGATGATCAGATAATATATGTTGCGAAGGATAAAAAATAAATGACGGAGTATTAAAACTGTACACTGACTTGCATTAGTTTAACGAGAACACCTAGAGCGATAGCATAATGTTCAGAATCAAGTTCATCGGTTTCTGTTTCATTGATAAGTCGAACAGCACTTACTATAAAAAGAAAATGAAACAAAAAAAGTAAGTAGTATAGTTACAAGTTATACACAAAAAACACGGATAGAGTTATGAAGTTGAGTATTTCAATGATTGGAAAGAAGATTTATAGTTAATAGTTTAAAAAACTAGTGAGTTTTACCCGTAACACATTGATAGCATTTCGGGTACTATTGGAAGCAAGGGAGTATTGGATAGTTTAATCGTACTAATGTGGACTCCGCAGCAGTCCTCACTTAAAACCCTAACAAGAATTGAACCTTGGTACTTCAGTTGAGAAGTTTTCGAAGTACACCGAATTCAAAGTAAACCAGTCTCCTTAAACTACTCACAACTAAAAAAACCAGTTAACAAACTGTAAACAGTTTTTTATTATATAGGAATCACTAATGCTACTAAACTTTTTGAATTGGAACACCTCATTGACCTAAACAGTACTCAGAAAAAATGTCCACGACTTTACGAAGCATAAACAGTTAGTCATAGCGTCAAGACACAACACGAAGACGGGAGTCTGATCATTACTTTAGCCGATGACGACACAGAAAGAATACAGGTATTTACGGAGTTTTCTGAAATGTCATTAAAGCCATATATCGAAGGTGTCCACTTTATAGCAGTGAACTTAACTGGCCACGAGCAGCTTGGAAATCCCAAAATATGACTAGAAAACACCCTATTTCTAGGCTGATCAAGGTTGGACTTTTGAGAAATAATACATTAACTAGCAATTGTTTATATTCTACACGATTATTTTCACGATTTTGTTGCCGACCAACTATACATAAATACTTCTTCAAATACATTACAGAATCAGATGAACATTGAACCGGAAAATTAGAGAAGTAATAATATCTAAACTAACAATATTAATTTTATTCACAGTATTTATGTTCTTGTTCAATAAAAAAATAAAAACAATGACTGATACTATTTTCAATTGTTTTTAAGGTATCGATAACTCAGTGGTTAAGATATTAGCCTTTTATCCCCTAAATAGCAGGTTCAAACCGTGCTCAATGTGTTTCGTTTTGGGAAACTGATAGATATTGAAAACCCTTACACTAAAAGTATGGCTAGAAGCCAAGTAAACACATCAGTGTCCGGTTATGAGTTAATAATAACTATTGTTTATTTAAACAGTAACTAGCCAAATTTTACTTAATATCCATATCATATGCAAAGATAACTTTTTCTAACTGTTCAGAATACCCAATTTTTCATCCTATCATAGTGATGATTAACAACAACTAATACTTTAGAGGTTTCATCAATTCATATTGCTGATTCAATTGCACACTTTTGAATAATTAACCATCTACTTTAACTTCTGAACCATATTATTCAGTGTAATTTGCTAAATTTGTAACTCTTTAGTTCAATTTTTTATTTGTAAAACCCATAAATTTAGTGTACAACTATAATGAAAAGTTAGTTAGAAAGAATATGAAGTGGTTGCAAATATTTTGATTTCAATTTTATTAATCAATTGAAATCATCCGGGGAATTACTGAAGACCAGAAAGCACAGGATAGTTGTTTCTTGAAAGTTTGTCATTTCATAACAATAAACACGCAAAACCAAGTGAGGTTAGATTCAGAACCTTCAAGTCTCATAGTAGATCGGATTCCATTTAGCTAACAGTAGCGCACTTATATGGCCTGTCAATAAATAAACTAATTTTGTTAGTAACAATAACGTGCTAACTAGTAACTTGTCTCGGAGTGCATTTTTAATAGGAAGCTGTGGTATGTGAAACCAATTAGGTCGGGAGTAATATGGCAACATATCGATGATATTGTGTGGGAAATGCTGTATGATATAAGTTAACAAATATTAAAAATATAGACCACCAAAAGACTTGAGGATATCGTGTCAGACTCCGTATAGAGCACTAATGAAGAGTTCTACAAAATAACTAAGTACGTAATCGAAAAATCCTATGAAGAGTTTGTACTTTTTTTCTAAAATTTCCACATGTATTGATTTTTTTTAGTTTATTATGTGATAGCAACTATGGTTAGATTATTCTCATCTAAGAAATTTCCACTACTTTGTCACGTGAAAATCTGATAACAAAGATGGAACATCACATTATACAAGAAAATAACATTTCTAGATCGTATTAGAAAGAAATAACTGAAACACTCTCAGGTTACTGTTATCACAATAAAGGGAGTTGTATATTTTCAGAACACTTTTCATAAACGAAGATGATAGAATATTAAAAATTATTAGCTTAGTTCACAAATACACGTTTTGCTTCTTATTCCAATTTAATGATCTAAAAGGTGAGGATGGCCAAAATGTTGATATTTTAGTAGAAATAAAAACAAAGAATATGATTGTCAACATTACCAACCTACTACGAGTAAATAAAAATGTTGTAGCCTGAAAACGCCATGTTATTGTGAATACTAGAAGGATTTCGTTATTATTTTCGCAATGCTATCACACAGTCACACGTTTATAGCCACAGTGAGAGAAGCCCCATTCACACCGTCACATGGGTTTTCGTTACGCCAGTGAGTGAGAGGAATAAAGAGAACGTCTGACGTTTAAACCGGGTTGGTGAATACGGAGGTTAGACCTAGGGTAGTTGAAAAATCTCAGTTTCAAACCGATGATGCACTAGGGAATCCAGGATCCCGAGGGAACGAATGGCATGCAAATCTTTTTCAGTGGTCTTTTAGGGAAAACAACTGTTTTGATCTACACATTCAGGGAGCATCTCAGAACACACAAGTATAATGATGAATAATTATGGTGGAATGAATCACACTGCTGTCAAATAAAGTTTAGTATTAGAAAGAAATAAAACCAGATAAATCATACTATTTAACATCATCAATAAACTATATAGGAATCGAAATAACATCACTTACTATCCCAAACGAATCCAGGGAGGCTTAAATAAAATCAAATAAACATGGAAAAACTGGTAAAACATTGTTGACATTCCTGAAATATCAGCAATTTGCAAACTCCATTCGTATGTAATGTCATCGGAAAGATTACTGAAAATAAGCATAAACTCCGAAAAACTGTATACTGATAATTGTGTTAAGAATGACAATGAAAGCCCCACAACTATACCAGTAAGCTTAAAGAAAGCAACAACATTAAAATTCTCTAAAACTATTTGACAAATCCCATCTTAGTATACGTATTATTAATTCGCATAGTCCAATCAATGATAATCCAACTTAGTATACGTTATTTTTACATACCGTCTTTATAGTACGTGTAGTGACAGAAATAACATTCATGAATTGTTACTTCGTGGTCTAAGGAAGATCTACGCGATAGGGTTTGAAAACATCTACTGTGCTAACAGCGTAGTTTGTACCTGGATGAATGAATATTGATGATGTGTGGAGCTTGTACCCAGCCGTTAACCAAACAAATGACTAAATAACTGAATCAGATATTATTGATTTATACATCGTCGGTATATTAGAGGTGATCATAAATCGTTTGATGTTAGTTGAAACATTAGATGAAGTGTTAACAAAAACAAAAGATTTAAAAATTATGTTCTCTTGAAAAAAATCAGCTAGGTTTGTTTGCCAACAGAGGCTCCAATCTGAAGCTATGTCAGTTTCTCTCTTAGCTCTCACATCCTCCATTGACTATCTGGAGTTTTTAGTGATGCAAATATGATCTATCTGACTCCCTGTATTGTGATCCGATGAGATCCATATAACTTTGTGTATCTGTTTGTAGGGAATATAGTGCCACCTATAACCATTTGTTGAATGCACATAAGCCTGCAAATCTCTCGCCATTTTCGTTCCCCTTTCTCAGTCCATGCCGTCCCATGGTATCTTCGTATCCAGTGTTGTCCATTCCGACTTTGGCGTTCAGTTCTCCTATCAAGATGATCAGGCCCTTTCCCGAGCATTTCGCTGTGATCGATTGCAGCCTCTCATAAAGCTGATTTTTATCGTCATCAGTGCTATAGTTAGTGGGTGCATAACGTTTGAAAGCGACCAACTTGGTCTCGTGTGCAGTTAAGGGTATGGGTAACGTTGGATAACAACATTCATTATGATCACCTCGTTCTTTGTTTTGAAGGTTGCTGTGATGATACTGGGTCCATGAGACTCCCAACCTATAAGTGCTTTACGTGCTTCTCTGAATAGTAGCAAAGCGAAACCCTGAGTGTATGGAGTGTTTTTTTCTTCGTGAACAGAGTACAGTAGTACCTCTACCGAATCTAATCTTTTCTGTCCAGTCTGAATCCAGTGGGTTTCACTTATTCCGAGTACGGCCAACCTGAATCTCCTCATTTACACACCTATTTGATTAGTCCTCCTGGTCTCACACAATGTCTGTACATTCCATGTAACTATATTACTTATTGCTCTGGTTGTTAAAAGGGGCATCGAACTGGTGACTTTTACAGATTCTCGACTTTCACCATGAAGCGTCACAATTCTTCTAAATGAAGATTCTTCAACTCGGAGGAAAAAGTTAAAATAGTTTAAATTGCTTATTCTGGTTAGTGTTTTTAGCAAGGTTATTTTCTACGGGATATGGGTACTGACCCTATCCCCAACCCTCATCCTCTATCCAGGCTTTGGACCAGCAGTAACCCTAAAAAGACCACAGGCGGAGAAGAGATTATTTCATGAATATGAGGATGATCATCCTTTCGAATAAAATAATTAGGTCACAGTATCTGCATATGACAGCTAACAGTTTATTTCTAAATTTTGTTAGGTAATTTCAAGTAATACAAGAAGTATAGAGAAAAAATTAACCACATCATGCTATAAAGTAGAGTAATTGTACAATACTACAGGAGAGAATTAAATACTAACCGTTTAGTGCGACCACGTACGTTTGGCGGCAGAAATCCTGGTTTCTAAAATAATTAGAAATAAATATGCAAAAAGTATAACACTTTATGAAAAATCTATATATAATCAATAAAAGTTAGTAAAGATGAATACAATAAGTAAACTTACAGATACTGTGCCAGATGATGATGATGGATTTTCAGCTTTTCTTAATAATTCTCGTACTCTGAAAATATTCCATGTAGTAAGGGAAAATAACTATTCGTTAAATAGTAGTATCAATAATAAAACATGTATGTAACATGTTTTTGTATCATATATTAAGCACTAAAACATACTGTACTACAGAATGAACGGCATAGATATTACACCACACGAATCAACGTCAAAACTTGATGATACTGAACGATTGACCAATCCAAATTATCTAAAGCGAAGTCCAAGTCTGAAACCTAACAGTTACGAACAAAATATTTTGACCGCTAAGCACCTAAACAACAGATATATTAGTGGCTTCGTCTAGAGTTCTTCATTTATACGACGATCTTTATTCGTGCTGTATGTGATCAATAGAATGTATTCTTTATAGTCTAATTGTATTCGTGTTCCTCTTACCATAACCTTTGTTTTGACCTTTGAACTATTGTTATTGATTACTTTCCCCCTATCCATAGCCACATTGGCCAATTATTGTACAAATGTTATTTATCTATTTTTTGGTACATGTGGTCTGTTTGGTTAGTATATAAACCCAGTATGCTTGTGAATAATGATTCATATTGCCGAGGCTGTTAATTGTGTTCTGGACTCAACTGGCTGGGCTAGGCAGATAGCAGGGCCGATACGCAATCAAGACTGCTCGTACAATTTCAAGTATCATTTGCCTCCGATCAATAAATTCATTCCTCTCCAATTGCACGTCCACATATTATTACGTCTTCACACGTTATAACAATGGGTATAAAATAATACAAATTAATTAGAAAATCTAATGAACTTGTGGCACAAAAGAAATCTAGATTTCCATATTTAGTTAGGTTTTATTTAATAAATCCTGGCCTAAACGATAAGACAAATTTATCCCCACTTATCTAAAAATGACTACTTTGAAACTTCTTCGAATTTCTATCTACCACGCACAGACTCACATACTTGGCTTCAACTCACAATCTAACTGTAAGCGCCGGTGATACTAAAGAAGATAGAACCTCCAACTAAGCGCTTGAAAGTTTAACGCCTCAACTATTGAGACACTGATCGGATCTACCAGAAATACGATTATCATCTTTATTATTTTCCACGTATGATAAATCAGAAGTTGATAAGGCCAGCTTATACAACATTATATCACACAACACTAAAACCTGCCTTTTCCAGCCATGAAAAATTTGATTATATAGCGAGTTAAGTAGGGAAATCTATTAGTATACTTTATAGACGAAATTGTGTTAATCAATAAAATAAAACACACTGTTAACATACAATTACCTTACTAAATTTAGACGGATAAGTTCACGACGGCATTCACAATATTTTGCCAAACATCCTTGTGATATACCTTGTGGTTTGTTTACAAATGATTGATTTTCACTCATCCATTTAGCAAGAAAACGTAAACTATTCAACATATTATTTGGAATATCCTCTATTTGTTCTGTATCTTCAGTTATTGAACCATCCCCTGATTCTTTGTCAGAGACTAAAATTTAAAGGTTTAGTGTAAATTACGTCAGTTTGCTGTCGACAGAATGATTGTGAATGAATTACTTTATGACCAAATCCAATAGCCATATAATATCATTAGCTCCTACACACAAAAGCGTATGGCTTGAAGCTGAATACATAAACCTGAATTTGCATACTGAATTGCATTAGATTGATAGTAATAGGGAAGTTGTAAGTAAATATTAGGTGCATGAGCTATTTAATTTTTCAGTAAATTATAAAACCATACAACAGAAAAGTGACTGTCAAGCAGTACAAAATTCAAGGAGTTGGACTAATAAACCCTGGATAGAACAGGCCCATGTTCGGAAGTTAGTAAGTCATCAGATATGTCTGTATGATGTAGCAAAACAAGTGGATAGTTGGATACGACCCACCTGTTTAAAAGTAGGAATGCGTGAAAAAGTTAGACAACCCAGTCAAATTGCCTATACTAAAGTAGATCGAAAGTTGATACCTGTGGAATTTTTATTAAAAATTGAGTATTTCAAGTTATTAACTATACATTGTGAGTTGAAGTAACGATGGTCACCTAAAATTTATCAACTAGAGGGTATGAGAATAATAAACACCAAGTTAAGTTCGCAGTCGAAGTCTATCATTCTTAATGAAAAACACCGAATTCGAATAAAAATCATGTTAACATTACAAAAACGCCGTTTAGATTACAAAACAATGAAATAATATGCACACTCCAAGTTTGTAAACAAGATTCTATTATTATTATTATTATTATTATTAGCACAATATGAATAGTGAGTTAGTAAATAAACGGTTGGAAATCCATCAGAATCAGTAATATTAGATGTAATTATTAAAAGTTCTAGTTTAGTGGTCTCATAAGGAAAAACAGTATATCCTAACTCACCGTAAATATAAATAATTTGGCTAAGACGGTTTGCAAAAGTGAACTTATCTTAGTTCCATCTAAAGGGAAGGAATCATTATGTTTCCGTCTAATAGTAGATGACTATTACATGATTACATTAATAAGATACTACAGATTATCTCCAACCTAATATCGAATTCGAACTAGATGGTTAGTATATCCAGAATAACAAAAAATTGCCAGAGAACAACTATTTTCTAAACTAAAAGAAGTAAGTGCAACATAAATAATGAATGAGGCAGTCTGATAATTAGCTCAAGAAAGTGCTAGATTCATAACTCATGTCGATTCTCCCAAAATATTAACAGAATTAATGAAGAGAGAGAAGCACACTTGAGGGATGGGTTATACTGAAATGCTAAATATAATAAAAAAAATTAGAATCTTCATTTGAAACAAATAAAAACACACCTTTTTGATCCATTAATCTTATTAAAATAGCATCATCCATAGGACAGAAAGTTTGCCTTAATAAACCATCAAATTCACGTTCCAAGCTTCCTAAACCAATTGAATACAACGATGTCTAGGAGCCAGAAAAAATTGAAGATACGTACACATAAATAATTAAATACAAACAGAGCATAAATGCAATAGAAAACAATTAGCTGTACAAAAAATTAATTAATAATACTACATATTCCCTTACCAATCGACTAAATTCAACATCTTGTGGATTATTCTCTTGAAAATAAGCCAATGCATCTTTAATACGTTCCATAGCCTTTAAAAATTTATCAGTATAAACTGTTGGTCTACAAGTAGGAAGAAGATAAAATCAGTTTTCTTCCGTTGTGAAGTATATATATATATATATATATATATATATATATATATATATATATATACTTTTAAATTACCCTTGTCTGATGGTATTTTCCAATTCACGACCGGTGTGGTAATACTCTTGCACTTGACTTAACTTTAATCGACAGGACTCTAAATCTGTACAAAGTAAAAAGTTTAAGAAATAAATCACTTAGCATCTTATTTTACGGGTTGACAAAACCAAAAAGCTCAGTCACGCAAAAGCAATTTAGAATGTAACATTAGTCAATCAAATAAACAGTACAAATTTACTACTACTACTATTTCTAACTTATTAAGGTGAAAGTTATTTTTAAGTTTATTCACTAAAACTTGGTTTTTTTGCCCAAAACCCACATGCTTATGAAAAAATATGGTATGAGACCTCAGCAGCAGTTTAACAGTAATACTGGTGGTGAAACTATAGTTTATGGACGACCTTTAAGTGACCCTAAACTGAACATTAGAGTGTCCACCTAATAACTATGATCGAATGAGGGTTATAAACCAGTGTGAAGAATCAGAACTATGATTTAGAGTTGACGGTCAAGGATAGAAACTAGATTTAGGGTTTTCATCACGAACTGACATCAGTTATAATGCCAAAACTCTATTTAGCCAAATGGATGAGTGAATTTCGCGCCGAAATCTGAGACCTGTTATCTTTTACCTGATTGGTTCGTCCATAAATTATAGTCCCTTCAGACTAGCTCTTATTAAAATTCTTACTCAAACATCACTATATTAAGGTCAGACAAAACATATGATGATGTTTGGCCAAAATTTCCGAAGGAAAATATCTTCTAGTAGGTGTGTGAGAACAAGGAAATATTTTGCTCTACAGTTCAGTATTTACTACCTCAACCTGGAGATTGTTGATACTTAAGGTTGACTAAAACGAATTAGACAGGGTAGTTCCGAACTCCACCTGCAGCCCCTCTAGGGCTACTGTCGGTCCCAAGCCTGAATAAAGAAGGAGGGTTGAGCATGCGTTTAGCGACCTCATCCCGTAGAAAACGAACTTGCTGAATAGACCCTAACCAGAAAAAATAATTCAAACCACTTAAACTCTGTCTTCGGAATTAGAAGGTTTTTAATTTAGAAGGGTTATGATGTCTCATGATGAACTAAGTCCCGAATACGTGATGAAATGAGTAACGACTCAGTAAGTGAAGTATCTGACTCTCTCCACTGAAATCTGCGTGTAATAGCTAGACATATATTTATGATTGATAATTTTGATCAACATTCATTCTTAGTGAATAATAGTAATAATAAATAATTGCAAGTGGAGAAAAAAATGTGTAGATGGAATATAAAACTAACTTCGTTGTAAAATCTGAAGTTGTTCCATATTTTTGTTTAACGGCTCCATACGTGTTTGATAAGATTGGACAGTCTGTATAATCTTTTTAAGCTTCTCACTGGACTGACTAGAAAGAGTGTTGAATTGATCCTTTAAATTAGAAAGTTCCGCCACGTAGTTTCGTATCTAGAGATATAAAATGGGTAAATGCACAATGATAATGGTAAAAATAACAATCCTATATATCTTGCAGTGTTGCAAGCTCGAACCTCTCTATAACCATTTGAGAAGTCGAGTTATGAATTGAACGCGGTTTCCGATGACACATTGCTCTATTTTTTTATTCATCGTTCAGTTATTACCTTTCAGTGATGAAGTATATAGATCAGAAGTAAAATCACTGACTGCCACGAAAAAGAGGACAGATTTAAATCTTAATGGGTGAATTTTCATTAGAAACCAGCGATCACGACCGTTGCTACTACCTTGACGTGGTGGTCGGGCTTGCCTATCGTGATGATCCAATCGAGCTATGCTGTCTGGAACAATCGTTCCTCAAGGTCCAACCATGCCAGACAGGTCGGTTGAAGAGCGGTAAGACTAAACGCAGCAATCCCAAGGTCCGAAGGCGAAGTCGTACTGCCGACTGTACAGAGGTGTGACGGCAGTAAGGTGTTTCCTTCAAACAACCAGCATGACAGCGATTCTGCCTTCCCACAAGGAGGGGTGGGGCTAGAAAAGGTCGACCCTAAAAATGCACACCTCGCCTTATCCCACGGATTTCCGTCTCCGGCGGTAAGGACTTTTGAAGAACGGAGCTAACACGTCAAAAACCCCCCACAAAAAGGCCGCGCGTGACCGACCTCAAGCAGTTGTCCCTTGGGCACTGCGGTCACGCTCCTAGGTCGTTACGACCAACACTAATCCAACTTCTTTTTCAGGTCCCTCAAAAAATACCCTTCCACGGTGTGGGCAGCCGGGAAGTGATACTAGCTCTCATACCCTTAACTGCACACAAGACCAAGTTGGTCGCTTTCAAATCCTTCCTACACCTAATAACTCTCTTACCTCCACGACTAACCCTTCCCACGTCCTTTTATCATCTTGCACCGCTTGGGCAAACGATTCAAGTACACGGAACATTATTCCTGGTCTCCTGAAACCACGCTCTAAACTACATGTAGGAACCTTTAATGTCCGAACACTGTGCCAAATAGGACAACAGGCTTCCTTAGCTAGGACTCTAGAATCCCACACCATCGATGTGTGCTGCGTCTCCGAAACGCACATACAAGATCCGAGTAGTGTCATTCATTTGACTTCACCTAATCAAAATAAAGAACCATCTCGACACACTCTTCATGTATCTGGAAGCCCTGACGCTGCTTCCCGTGACCTCGCTGGAGTAGGTATAGCATTAAGTCTTAGGGCAGAACTAGCTCTTTTAGACTGGATCCCAGTAGGTAGTCGTCTATGCGCCGTCCGACTAAACGGATCAGTAGGGACTCGGAAAGATAGGGAAACTCGTCGTTGCCTCTTCGTCGTCTCTGCCTTCTCTCCCACTGACTGCAGCTCAGACGATATAAAAGATGAGATTTACAGGAAACTTTCTGACCTTCTCCGAGAAGCTAGGCGTTCTGATGTAGTAATAGTAGCAGGTGACTTTAATGCTCAAGTAGGTAAACTAAGTGAAAGACACCTGGGTGGATCTTATGGTGTCGTGGCTAAAAGAACAGACAATGGCGACCGTCTGTTGCAGCTGTGCTCAGATAATCGCCTATTTCTTGCAAATACTAACTTTAAGCATAAGGAAAAACATCTTTTGACATGGTGACCCCCCCCAATTCGTCCCAACGTTGGACCCAATTAGATCACATCGCTATCAGCCACCGATGGAGGGGCTCGATAGAAGAATGTCGCTCATTCTGGAACACTTGTTCAGACTCAGATCATGCTCTAGTGCGAGCACATATCTGTCTGCGTCTTACTGGACGTAGGAAAAACACTGCAGGGAAGCCTCTAAGGGTTCTACTTAATGATAAGCAAGCTAAGAATATATTTCAGGAACAACTGGTAAAACAGTTAGACAGACATGTAAGTTGTGCCCACTTCGAAGCAGCGTGGAATGACATCCGAAAAGCTGTGGAAACAGGAGTGATATCCACTAGTAAGGTAAGCCATAAGGTCAGGGAGAAACAATGGATCTCGGCAGCATCTACCACACTGATAGATTCTCGAAAACTCATCCCACCTGGCTCTGAACATAACGAAGAGCGGAGTCAGCTTAAGCGAAGGCTAATAAGAAGCCTACGCGATGATCGTGAACAGTGGTGGGTAGCGAAAGCAAGAGATGGAAAAGGCAGCGGCAATAGTAAACAGCAGACAGCTATTCAGACTTATTAAAGAAACCGGCATTAGGAACTCAACTATTAGCGAAACTATCTCAGACAAAGATGTGCAAATCATTCATTCTCAATCCAGGAGATTGGATCGATGGGCAGAACACTTTAGGGATCAGTTCAACTAGCCTTCAGCCACACTTCAGTTACCCACGATCCCCAGTCGTCCTGAATGGCAAATTGATGAAAGTCCTCCAACTGTCTACGAGGTTGAAAAATCTATAGGAAATCTGAAGCGAGGGAGTGTCAGGCACTGACAGGTTTACTCCTGAGATTTTTAAGGATGGTGGTCCAGTAATAGCAACGAGATTGACTGACGTCTTAGGTAGAATCTGGGAACTGGACATAATTCCATCTGACTGGTCCCAATCACTTTTAGAGATAACACTTTCATCACCTCAGTCTCCTGGAGTTGAACTTTTACCGGGAGATTCACTTGTTGACTTAAAATACGCCGACGACATAGTTTTACTCGGTGAGGACGCTGACAACATGCAGAGTCTTCTGACCACTATAAGCAACTATGCAGGCATGTGCGGGATGCGATCCTCTCCCTCGAAGTGCAAAATGTTACTTCAGGATTGGGTTGCACCGACACTTGAACTAATGATAGGGAGTGAAGTAGTTGAGCGTGTAGACCACTTCACTTATCTTGGGAGTCTCATCAGTCCTTGTGGTCTGGTGTGTGACGAAATCTCAGCACGGATACAGAAGGCTCGTCTAGCTTTCGCCAACTTGCGTCATTTATGGCGTAGGCGAGATATCCGTCTAGCAACCAAAGGACGTGTTTACTGTGCAGCAGTTCGCTCCGTCCTACTTTATGGCAGTGAAACATGACCGATAAGAGTAGAGGATATTCATAGGCTACTAGTCTTCGATCATAGGTGTCTTCGAAGCATTGCTCGTATATCCTGAGACCACCGGGTAAGTAATGCAGTTGTTAGGAAACGGGTACTAGGTAAGGATGGCAAATCGATTGATGAAGTAGTGAAACTTCATCAGTTGAGATGGCTGGGACATGTGTTACGTATGCCCGACCACCGACTGCCCCGACGTGCAATGCCTTATGGTGCTTTATGAAGTCACTGATAAGTGGACTGAGCCATGTTGGTAGGTGTAGACTACCTGGTTGGGATTCGCGAGATGATAGCAACCGATGGTTAGAGACCTTGAATGACATGGCTCAAAATCGTTTGCAATGGCGAAGGTGCATCCACTCTTTGTGTTCTACCAAATTCTAATCCTCTGAAATCCACACGTCCCTATCCTTTTTCTCTTTCCAAATGTATTTCACTGTATTATACTCCTTGAATAACATCTTCAAACCCTAATCTTTCACATAATGCTTATACTCTTACTACTTCTACCACTATGGGATTTGAATAGACAATTGTATCTCTGTGCTAATGTGGTATTGCAGCTCGAACTGATATACGTACGTACAAAGTCCTATGCTGTGACTAACTGGCTGACTGACAAACCAGCGATTAACTTAGACTTGTGACTTTTAAATGGTTATTCTTGAATATTTATCTAAAATTCACACTATCCTACGCCTTGGTAATCAAATTAGAGGTTAATTGTACATAGCCACAGAGTCTGCAAAACGAGGTGAATCCGCCTTTTGAACCAGTTGAATAAATTCCTAGGTATGGCCTCAAGCACACGTAATCAGCAAACACATTTTCTACTACTAGATTTTTAAAACACCACAGGCTAAGCGATGTGGTCTGAGTCAAAATGCATGAAAACGAACCGGGTCCAAAGAACTATATATTATTTACACTTGAAACTTTAATTTGGTGCCTTGTTATCGATAACAAGGCAAATTAATCAATTCGCAAAGTAAGATTCAACAGGGAAGTTATTTTAAAAGTTAATTTCTAACATTACCTAACTACTCATAACTTTAGCAACCAAGTACATGTGTGTACACCTTCCTCTAGGAAACAACTTATTTCCCATAAACTATAGTTTGCTGGAAATTGTTTCACTTATTAATGATTTGTGCCATCATTACATGAAACTATTTATAGTCTACATATTAATCCAGAAGTAACATTTCCATTTTATTCACGAAATAAGTGACTTATTTTACCTACCTGTGTTGACGACATTATTTTCCAATATGTAGCAGATCAGGGACAAATTTTGTGACACACAAGCAGCCTCGTTCCGTGTGAATCGACAATTAGACAGACAGAGTAATGTTGCGGAACGATGTTAGTATCCCTTCAGAATATGTTACATCACATTAGGAACTATCTCAAAAGGTCAGCTACTGGCGACCTTGAAAATAAATTCTCCTCCAAAGTAGGTAACGTACGCAACTTGGCATAAGTGAACAAAATGGTGTTCTTATTAACCCATGTTAAAATAAAACTACTTCATCGTTAGTAATATCTTCCTGTTAGCATGCCTATGACTCAAAAGGATCCAATAAATGCAACCCAATTTCAACGTCAGTTGATAAAGGATAAAAGTGTTCAGAACTCAGCCTTCAGTTGTAAGGATAGGGGGTCTATTGACCCATGCTAATCCTTGCAATTTGTAATGCTGTTGAGGTCCAACCTTGCTCCAACTGCACATGAATGGTGCTGATACTACGTGTTCTGGTAGGGAATTCCAATAACTCGCTACTCGGTGTTAAGGTCTGAAGTTCAGACAAAAATGTTGAGTATATATATATTGCGAGAATCAGGTTTTATACCTCAACCATTCCTTCACCCAAGTACTGAAATGGCTTTCGAATAGCCCGAATACCCTGGAGCCTCTGGTAACGGAAGCCTTAAAGTTGCTCATAGTTCAGAGTTCGTTGCTTATTATGACTCCTAGATGGTTATAGCACGCTACTTTAGGTAACCCAACTCCACATATTATGTTTTGATATGAATCGCCGCAGTTATTTACTTTCAGCACCACACCTTTGTTAGAGTTGATTTCTAATGACCACCTGCCTATCCATACAACCAGTGAACCCAGGTGATGTCTTAATATTATTCTGACATACTGTGCATGGGTCTCCAAATATCGAAGGCTTTACTTCGGTCTACAAAAATTACATCTACAGGAATATTTCTGTTCAGTCATTTCTTCCAATGAGCAGATTTGTCAAGTGTGATAAGCCTTTCCTTAATCCACGACGTTCCCTGGATAAAAGATTGTGCCCTTCCACATATTTCGATATAGCCACCCGAATAATCTTCTCCATTAGTTCTGACAGCTATACTGGTCAGATTAACGGGTCGGTGGTTACCAAGCCTCTGCTCCACGCCTCATAAGTCGGACTGACTGTTGCATCTTTCCAGTATCTTGGCAGTCTAGACTGCATCAAGGGCATACATCAAACAGTATGGCCAGAGGTTTATTAGTCACATCTAACAGTGCTTTCACAACCATAAGATCAAAAATGTCAAAACAACTGGACTTATTGAGTTTGAGGCTTTGAAGTAATCGTAAAACAGTCTCATTCTAAACAACTACAGGATCAATCGACAAGCCGCCATTACTGTGAATAACTATTGGTCTACCATCATCACTGGTGGAAAACACTTTATCAAGATATCCTTCGGCTTCGGCTTCTGCTGCATAATTTATTGGCGAAATTCGAAAGATCTCGTACCAAAAGAGTGTGATTCCGTCACTTGTCTGATTTCGTCTCTTTATGTACGAGAATAACCTTTTCAGACATTTTTCACAACCCTAAACAATTGTTCTTCATGGTAAGCAGAGATGGATAGTGGCTAGCAGTGAAACCCAGGACGCACGTTTCGTCTTGTTTTGGACTCGTCAGCTGGATATACCTGCATCTCAGGGTTCACTCTGGGAATCGAACCCAGTACCCTCGTTTCAAACGCCATCGCGTTATCCACTCGGCCACTGAGTCCTGATAGCCACTTGCTTGTTCAATGGGGTGAAGTTTAAATTCATTCAGTATTGTTTGTTTGAATCTTCCCATTTATGTGTTAAAACTAAAACTGGTCAGTCTTTAATTGGCATATGTGCATACTGTGCGTATTGCCTCGATATAGCTTTAATTCACAAGCTTGGTAAGCATAGATGGATAGTGGCTAGCAGTGGAATCCAGGACGCACGTTTCGTCCTGTTTGGGATTCGTCAGCTGGATGTACCTGAAGGACTCAGTGACCGAGTGGATAACGCGATGACGTTTGAAACAAGGGTACTGGGTTCGATTCCCAGAGTGAACATCAAATCTGAGATGCAGGTACATCCAGCTGACGAGTCCCAAACAGGACGAAACGCGCGTCCTGGATTCCACTGCTAGCCACTATCCATCTCTGCTTACCATGCTTGTGAATTAAGGCTATATCGAGGCAATACGCATAGTTTGCGCGTATGCCAATTAGAGACTGACCAATTTTAGTCCTAACACATGATAAGATTCAAACAAACAATACCAAATGAATTTAATTGTTTTTCATGCTTATGTCTGACTTTTCTTACTAGCGCTTTGCGAGAGATCCTAGTTCTACAATAATTGGATGTATATTGTTAGGAACCTGTATAGATAAATATACTCCTGTGCATTTTTCGACGTCTAAAATGTTTTTTAATCTGTTCAGTTATCCATAATGGGCTATTATTTGGTCCACGCGACACTAAACATGGTATAAACGGAGACGTAACTAAGCTAAAAACACTTTTAACTACAGTATTTACTTCTTCACCTGATGAGATAGTGTTTACTTACCAGCATGTTGTTTCACTTCACTCTTATATGCCTAATATGTTTGCTCTTTATGCATTTGGATGAGGCTTACCCTGATCTTAAATTATGTCACAAGCTGTAAATGTGAATGACAAAACAGCACAATCACTACTGGCTAACTGTGAAATATCTAGATGGGCAATATTTTCGGTCACGTGAGTGATTCCTAAGTCTAAAACAAGAGATCCCTAATTCGAACCAAAACATGAGGGTTCGGATATATGCTGCAATGAAGCATGCTCTATTACCGTCATAAGAAGCTTACTATCAAAAGAATTTACAGATTCTACAGTGGCCATCTTAGTCCAACTAATAACATTTGTTTAAACACATATATATTGGTACAAAAGGGCACCAGATACATATGCGCCACACAAAATAATGAAAGTAGCAAGAGAAGGGATGAAAAGACAAGGCGAACTGAAATGTACAATCAGAAGACTCTTTCAGTTAAGAAAGTTAGAACCACTCTTTATGTAGAAAGTAAAAGAAGGTTGCAGCAGGATCGCCACTGGCTTCTATTCTGAGCCATATCTGATAACGTCTCTAGCCACTGTGTTGCACCATCTCTCGGACCCCAGCCAGGGAGTCGTGAAGGACCAACAGAAGCTAGCCCTTTGCAGCTTTCTTTCATGCCACAACACCATGTCATACACTGACCTCCTCTCCGCTTTTTCCAACCAGTCCCAGAGTCGGCAAATAATGCACGACGTGGAAGCCTCTGGGACGACATTCGTAAAACATGTCCAAGCCACCGAAGTCGGTGTTTCAAGATGGTGACACCAATTGAATTATCGTCCCTGCGCCCGAGCACACGATGCCGAACCTCTGCATTACTAACATGGTGTTGCCACTGTATGTCAGCAAACCTTCGGAGACAACGATGATCGAACACAGAGAGACGTCTAACATCCTCAACTCGGAGAGGCCAGGTTTCACAAGCATAGAGCAAAACTGCTCTCACCGACGCGTTGTAGATCCGACTTTTTACAGCCAGGCTAACATCACGAAGGCGCCAAAGATGGCCCAGATTGGCATAAGCCGCTCTGGCTTTCATTATCCGTGCATCAATCTCATCACTGATGCCACCACCAGCACTTATATAGCTACCTAGATACACGAACTTCTCAACTACTTCAATCTGCTCACCATCTAGGGTGAAAATCTTCAGATAAACAGGTTGGCACAAAGTATAAATGTAGAACTATCAAAAGTGAGTTCGTAGCTAACTACTTCACAAGTTTTACTATCATGCGACGCACAAACAGAAGAACAAATGCTTATATATATATATATATATATATATATATATATACAAAAAACATTTCCTGAATCTGTTCTTATCACCTCTTAGGTATTTGCATCCGGATAATTCTGAAGTAACGTCAAAATCACGTTTCGGTCATAAATAAGATGAGTGGCTTAATTTCGTACACCAATATTCCTAGTTCACATAATCTATTTCTTAGACTACGGGTATGTTCACATAAACCCCATAAAAATAACGATCAACACTCACAGGCATTGGTAGTATTCGCTTCCAAGACCTAAATTCATTAAGCGCAGGCCTTTTTTCATCACTTTGTTGGATTACTAGTTCATCTAGTGCAGTATTTTCTTATATTCTGCTTTCTAGAGACATTTCGAGTCTTACTCAAAATCTGATGTTATACCCGTTTCAAGCGCTATTAAGCAAATTATTTAGTTGTTCCTCAGACCCAAGAGTTACTTCTAGGTGTCTAGTTCGCTGTGGTTCAGCACTTTCGTCATTCTTCTTACCTATTCTAATAACTTTTTATACTTTGACTTTTAAATAATTACCATGCAAGATGCTACGAATAAATTCTTCGACCTTTTCCAAATCAAGAGCTTATCTGGTTTTCGAAAATGGGTCGTTTAATTTTAGCAAATCACTAAACAAATTTTCTAATGAGATCAATCGTTTTTCTAGCCTCACTAGGGTTAAATTTCGTCTCAATTTGGATGTGCATTCCGTGACGCAGAATGAGAGTCTATCTAAGACTTGTCGACCAAGCGAGTGCTGTTTCGGACCATTTTCTCCCACTTCGTTGTTTTCGTACAATCGTCCGTTTCCTGCCACTTCCTTCACTCATCATATTACATTCTTTCCTCCTAAGAGAAAAGCGATTGGGCTGTCCAAATTTATAAGTGTAGCCTACTATTGCAAACGAAAAATCTTCATAAATAGATAACATGATCACTACTGTGAGCATCAACTGGAAAAACAGTTCCACCAGACTGATATGAATAAAACTTAAAATCTTAAAAGTAGTAATCCAAGTCGAAATAGATCAATTATGCTTTAGATTGGGAGTCTCATGGACCCAGTATCATCACAGCAACCTTCAAAACAAAGAACGAGGTGAT